CAGTAGACTACCTCTAGTCGGGTTCTGTAAGCCCCCTTGGAGTGGTTGTCGTTGATGATGAAGAAGAAGATGGTGTCGATGTTGTTGCTAGTGGTGATGTCGATGAAAATGTTGGCTGTGGTTGTGGTTGTGGTTGTGGTTGTGATGTAGATACAGTGACGATAGGTATAAACTCTTTTTCCATAACAACCTCAAGTTTGATTGACTCCACCCAATGACCGGATGCGTCCCTCTTTCCCAACGTGATGAGTGGCGAGTGAAAAGTCCGTCTTTGCCGCAATCAGAGATACCAGAGAGAAGGGGTAGGGAAAGAGACAAAGTGAGAGGAGAGAGAGAGAGAGAGAAAAGAAAGCAGGAGAGAGAGGACGGAAAGGGTATCCTTTGTTGTGTCGTCGAGATGTGGCAGTTGCGTAAAAAATATCCAATCTTCTTATTGCCCGCTCTATTCCTCTTCGCAGTGACAAGATGATCAAATAAAGAGCGTTACTTGTAGAGATGGGGAGATGTACTCGTGTGAGTTGATTATGGATGGTGGTAGAGAAGAGTGGGGTTAGATAGAGGTGAGAGGGGCGGGAGGAGGAGAGGAGAAGAGAGGGTTGAACGAGGGGACGACTTGTTTGGTAAGAGTAAGTGCACCATGGCACCAGTGCACGGGCCACGGCGGAGAGAACGATTTCAGGGTACATATCGACAGGGGACAGGAACAACATAGGGCAATAAACTGTCCGAGCGTCAAATTGACTTGACCGATCGGAACAAAGACCTTTCATGCTTCAACTCGCAACCACATCTATCTATCGCTATGGACAGGCATGCAAGCAGGTCATGACTATATATACAACCTACTCAACGCTTCTGTTTCTTTCGTTTCACGATAGATGCACGCAATTTGATCTCTCTGTCAACTTCGATCATCAACAAAGAAAACCCAACTCACTTGTTTATCTCGCAATGACGCTTTCTTCTTCTGCACCACCTTGTTCGAGCTGATCGTTAGCGACTCTTCCAAGATTGCAGCTTGTAGATCATGTACCATATCAGAGAAGGTATGGATTAAAGCGTATTCGGTGAAGAGAAGGGAAATCGTAGACCAAGAAAGCACCACCACACTCACTGAACAGCCATCATGATAGGTTTATTCCTAGTCTTCTCTCTATTCGTACTACTACTTTCCTTATCCTTTTTACCTTTCTTACTCCCAAACTTCTCACGACCTTCTCGACCTTTCTTGATACTTTCAATCCTCGCCTCGTAATCATCCTTGGCTCTCTTCCTCGGACCGAGAATCTCATTCTCAGTCAAAAACCTAGAAGCTTCGTCTTCTCCGACATGTCTCTTGGAAGCTTCCAAGGCGGCAAGTTTGCGTTTAGCTCCGGTGGAAGAAGTGGTGTTGACCAAAGATTGGGCAGCCTTGAGACGGAGCTCGTTGAGGAGTGTGAAATCGGCAGGTGTGAGGATCTGACCGTAAGTTTTATCCCGACACTTTATGTCGATCTTCATTCGTACACTGTTGCGCGGTCATATGAACAGACTTCATGGACACTCCTGAAGCGGTTTGTCAATGGAGGAGGAAAAAGGATACAAGATAGTGTGAAGGCGGAAGAGAGGGGGACAGGGATGAACATACCTTTTGTTGAGCCAACAAAGACAATTTCTTAGTGTTCTCCGAGGCAACCGTCATACTTGAAGGAGCGACAGAGACCACAGATTTCCCATCTTCTTCTTCCTCCTCTCCACCTTCCTCTCCCTTCTCTTCCTCGACCAAAGCAAGTTTCGCCCGCTTCACTTTCGGACCTTCGTCATCACTGTCTGAAATTTCCAAATCATCCTCATCCGAGGCCACATCTTGCCATCCGCTTGACTCTGATCCGGAATCAGATTCCACGTCCCAATTCTCCCATCCAGTTTCGTCTTCTTTGTCCAGGTCCAGCTCAACATCGGAAGCAGATTGATCAGGGTTGACTTCTTTCTGCTTGGCGGCAAGATGTTCTTCCAGCAGCTTGTGGTCAGGTCATGGCTTGACAACAGGCATGGAAAGTCGGGGGTATCAGTCAAGTGGGCCGATTGAACAGGTGGGAGAGTAGTACAGGAAAAGACGGGAAGATGTGGGGGAGGTAAGATGGGAAGGTGTGAAGGTGGCACAGTAGGGAGACGGCGACTTACCTCGATCCCTTCAATACCCTGAGGAACATCCGTGTGACCGTAAGCTGGAGCTTGATTGACTTCTCCCATAGCTGCTGCTTTACCCTGACTGTCAGCATCTTCCCACGGACACTTCACCAGGATCCCAAGAGCCACTCGAGTGAATTATCTCTGAGATGACTGATAAGGGTGGACAAGAATTACTCACCCTTTCACGTCGTTTCAACATACTAGGGTTCACCTCCCGATACAACTGCAACAATCCCCTACTTGCAGTGATCACACCTTTATCCTTACTCTTCCTATATTCTATCAAATCACTCAAGAGGTCTTCTTCCATACACCAAGGTTGTCTCCTACACACCTCCCGGATTGCGTTGATACCGGCTGCTACCACTTCCGAGCCAACACCCGGATGGACAAACTCTTGGGCTAGTTTACGGATGACAGGGGTCAAGACATCAGGAGGAGTAAGATCGTGGACTGATTGTGCGAGGGCGACGAGGATGAGGGTGACGGAGAGTTGGTGATACGTCAAGTATCTATTGTCAGCACCTTGCTTCGGCTGAGCATAACCTTGTCATGATCTCCACCGAACCATGACTCTCAGGTGCGTGAGAGGTGTGTGATCAGAGGTGATAGGAGTCTCAGAGTGGAATGTGAGAGCAGGTCACAAGATCACGACGAGAGCAACGTACTTGACAATGAAACTGTAAAACCCGAGGATACACAATTTGTGTGTGCCCATGACCCTTGACAAAAGCTGTATGATGAGAAGCTTATGATCCAAGGAATATTGCTTGTCTGTTTCATGAGCATCTCTTTGAAGGGTAGCCAGAGACGAAATATAACTGACCATGCTTGTGCAAGTTGTCATACAGTTTCTCGCCAAACGTTTGGGGATCATGCAACAGTTCAAGAGCGGGGAAATTCGCTTTAGCTCCCAAACCGGCGTCTCTGTGTTTTCGTTTCTGCCACGTCAGCTGATACGGACTGACGGAGTACATGAGGGAAAGTGTCGTCATTCGGGGAGATATGGTCATGGCTTAGCAGTGAATGTAGGTTATCTCACCTTCGTCGCCTCTTTTTGCACTTTCTTAAGTAGCTTCTCTTTCTTCTTCCTCGTCTTACCCACCTCCAAGCTGTGCTGCATCTTCTTTACATCCTTTCTAGCCTCTCGAACTTCGTCCTCTTCATCTGACGATTCGGCCCCGGTGTCGTTGTCGCTTCCGAGGAAGAAGTGCAGGGCCGCAGATTGGACTTTGGTATTTGGATGAAATACGGCGAGAGCGACGATAGAGACTGTCTTTGCGTCGGTCCTGTTCACGTGAGCACGGGTTTTTCCTGCAATACAATCCTTCGCCCATTCCTCAGCACAACATGCAACAGCAGATGAGACACAGAGCAGGAAGAGATGGGAAATGAGAGTGGTTCTGTGATGTGACAGCTTCAAACTCACCAAACACCTTTCTTCCACAATTCGCTAACCATCATAACGGCCCACATAGCCTCTCCACCTTTCTCTTTCCCCTTCCCCTTACCTTTATCACCTACCACCTCCGCTTGCATACCGCTCTCCACCATCCCGAACAGCAAACCTTGAACCACCCTATTGAGGCGATGATTCTTGGTCTTGACGTTGGAGGTTTTGAGGTCGGTGAGGATAGTATGCCGGATGAAAGATCGCAGACTCGATGGCACGTGAGGCAATAATGGGAGTAAGGTCTGCAGGAGTCTATTTGATCAGTTTGGGCACCCACATCAACCTGGTAGGCAATCGTCCGTATTTAAAATCATCCCCCAGGATCAGACGCATTCTCGATATCCAGTATGAGAAGTGTCAATCATCGAAGAGAACTTCGGACTCACTCGATGGAATCAATCACATCTTTGTTCCGCAACATGACCAAGTTTTTCAAAACGGTCCGACGCATATCACCTTTGACAGAAGGCCCATTCGTACCCAACAACAGCCCTTTCAGCTGTGACGGTAACTCTTTGGTTTCTTCCGGATAACATTGTGCCACTTGGGATATGAAAGTGACGAGTTCTGCAAATTTTTCGGCCGACTTGTCTGACCCATTTGGGGTTGATGTAGAGGGGGCAAGAGTATGAAGACGGAGGAGAGAAGTGTAGTGATTGTATTGAGTGAGAAATTCTTCATGATATCCTTTTGGGTCCCGCTGAGTGTCAATTGCCCTTCTCTTATCGTCCCGATGCCTTCCTCTGCGCGTCGTCTACGAGCTCACGAGCCCGTAATAGTCATCAGACGAGACGGAGGACCTGGAAGGTGAGTTGAATGAAGACTCACCTTGATCAGATTCTGTAGTTGTGGTAAGTTTGCAGTGAGCAATTTACCCCTAGAAGCGTGAGATTTGACCATCTTGTCGTCTTTTGACACTACTCTTGCCTTTGTTCGTCCAAATGAAAGTCGGTCGTTGATTAGTTGTTGGAGTGCTCTGGTGTGGTTCGGAACATGTTCAACTTTTGATTATTTTCTCTTAATATCTTTTGTTTAATCCAGAGGGGATAAACTTAAGCGAGCCCGATGATGGTACCTGAGTGAGAACGGCGATAACCGCGGAAATGTTGGAGGTTGAAATTGGATTGCGTGACCATTCTCTCATCTTATTCCAGTTGTTCACTGCCTCGAGGCTCAGCCTGTAGTATGTGATAGTCAGGGTCCCGAAAGACATATAGAGACGTCCGCAAGGTTCGGAAGCTTACATCTCGCGGCTATGACGAATCCCTGTCTTTTTTTTCCGATGATGCAACGTACCGACCATTGTCATTTGGGAATACCGTTCGGGAAGTGTGATTTTTATTCCAACACTTGATATATCCATTCCTTTTCTTTGAAGTACAAAAGCAGGACATTGTCGCTCTACCTTCATCATCTACCCATCTCTTTACCCACAAGTTGTCTTTCAGTCACAAACTACAACAACATACTTGCGTAATCGTCATGGCCAATACACCTCACGGTGGAATTCTCAAAGACCTCGTAGCTCGTGATGCTCACCGTCACGATGAACTCGTAGAGCAAGCTAGAAATCTTAAAGATATCTTCTTGACAGAGGTGAGCCGACTGTCATGAACGCATACACCAAACTGATGGTCAGCGTCAACTATGTGATCTCGAGTTGATCCTCAATGGTGGTTTCTCCCCTTTGGAGGGATTCATGACTGAAGTTGACTACATCTCGTGAGTTTTCCGAACCATCCAGATCCTCACTCTCACACCTTGGTGCTCTGTCCATGTACGGAGAGATATACCAACGTTGTCCATGACTGTAACTGACCTCAGCGTTCGAGACACTCTACGACTTGCTCCCGTTAACGGCCAACATCAGGGTATCGTCTTTCCCATTCCTATCACCCTCGACGTCTCCGAGGAAGACATCATGATTTTGAGTTTGGAGAAGGGTGTTAGGGTAGCTTTGCGTGATCCGAGAGATGAAGCCGCATTAGCTATATTGACTGGTGAGTAGATCTGTCCTAAACTTCATTTACTTATCAGCCGCTCTCTTCCTTCCTCAGTGAACTCATCTTTGCTGTGATCTGCTACTCCCCTCCTGGACATCTGCCCCCGGAAGCTACCGGAGACTGAATGCTCGATGTTAGGGCCCTGTCGAGAATTCCATATATGGTATCAGGGCTCGCTTGAGGTAGACGATCAATATGATGATCATCAAGCCTTGGGTATCAATTTGGAAATGTTTTACACAGCCTCTGGGCGATGAAAATTGCAACGAAGATTGATGGGAACATAGCGGGATTCGTCGCTGATCTCCTAGTGGAGGACATTTACAAACCTGACAAGCACCTCGAGGCAGAGGCCGTGATGGGTGCAGATGATCTCGCCCATCCAGCCGTCACTTATCTCCACAAGCATACTCAGGATTATTATGTGGGAGGAAAGATAGAGGCTATACAGAAACCTACGCACTATGACTATGTCGCTTTACGATGTAAGTCTCCCTTCTTTCTTCTTTGACTCTATCCTATCAGATCATATCTAAGCCTATGACCGCGTATATGGCATACCCTGACCATATCCTAGAGCCGTCTCAATATTGTTGGTCAACATCATCATCGTAGCATACACAGCCCTCACTTGTAATACTTCCCTTCTCTTCTCTCACCTATGGTTCGGGAGTTTGTAGGGTCATGACTGAGATACAATTATTTCAGGTCAAGGATGTGGAGAGGTGAACAGAAGATATGAAAAGGAAAAGACGTCACTGATTCCAGACACTCCATCCGAACTCCGAGCTCACTTTCACAAACTCGCTTGGAGAAAAGTAGTCGCCTTTCAAACTCGTAATCCCATGCATCGAGCTCATCGAGAGCTCACAGTTCGTGCGGCTCGTCAACGTCGTGCCAACGTTCTTATTCATCCCGTGGTAGGACTCACCAAACCTGGCGATGTGGATCATTACACTCGTGTGAGAGCATATCAGGCTCTTATGCCTTCTTATCCAGAAGGAATGGCTCATTTGGCTTTGTTACCACTTGCTATGCGTATGGCTGGACCGAGGGAGGCTTTGTGGCATGCTATCATAAGGAAAAACTATGGAGCTACGCATTTCATCGTGGGGAGGGATCATGCTGGACCCGGGAAGAATTCACAAGGCAAGGATTTCTATGGACCTGTGAGTGATCAGACTCGTCTTCTCTTCGCCCTTCAATTTTGTTTTCGCGGCCTTTAATCTACTTTCATGACGACAGATGATAGCTTCGTCTCCTCCCCCTTCTTCCTTCACATCATTCTTAGGCTACACCTGTCCATTCAGTGTGCTGTTCAGCCTCATGGGGCAGATACAAGAAGAGAACCGAATGGTAGGAAGAGAAGTGGATTAGGGCAGGTTGAATAACAGGAAAAGGGAGATGGATTTATAAATCAAAATGGAAGGTGTAATGACGCTGATAACAGTACGACGCTCAAGCACTCGTAGCGCAATTCAAAGATGAATTATCGATTGAAATGGTTCCTTTCCAAGCTATGACTTATCTCCCCGGTTCAGACGAATATCAACCAGTGGACGAAGTACCAAAAGGAACTCCGACAGCCGATATCTCAGGGACGGAATTACGAAAACGTCTTCGGACTGGAGCTCATATACCAGATTGGTTTTCGTATGATGGAGTTGTGAAAGTCCTTAGGGAGTCTTATCCTCCTCGACCCAAGCAAGGGTTTACCAGTGGGTCATCTTTCTTCCTCTCCATTTCCCCTTTCTGCACTTCTCCCTTTCTTGCTCTTTCCCTCTTTCCCTCTTTCCATCTTTCCCTCTTTCCCTCTTTCCATCTTTCCCTCTTTGCCTCTTTCCCTCTTTCCCTCGTCCCTCCTTATTCGGTCCTATTCCACATCTCAACTCTTCTTTCCCTTCTCGTCATCCCCTCATGTTCCCATACCCGCTCTTCAAGTCTTAAAGATGATTAAGCAATAATCTAACCCCCAGTCCTCCTGACAGGTCTTCACAATTCCGGTAAAGATACAATAGCCAGAGCCCTTCAAGTGACTCTTCAACAAAACGGTACTCGTTCCGTATCCCTCCTTTTAGGCGAAGCAGTCCGTGCGGAACTTTCCCCCGATTTAAGTCATTCACCAGAAGACAAACATATCAACATGCTCCGAATTGGATTCGTCGCTTCTGAACTTACAAAAGCAGGTGCTGCAGTCATAGCAGCTCCTACTGCTCCTTATTCTCATTCTAGAAGAGCATTAAAAGATGTTGTGGTAGGATCAGGTGGTGGGAATTTCTTTTTGGTTTGGGTAGCTACACCATTAGAATGGTGTGAAAAGGTTGATAGGAGAGGTTTGTATAAAAGAGCAAGGGATGGTGAGATTAAAGGTTTTACAGGTGTTGGAGATAAATATGAAGAACCGGAAGAAAAAGATGTGGATTTGAAATGTGATTTAAGAGTTGATACAGTACCTGAAATCGTTCATTGTGAGTTACCTTAAACACTTCTTTTAATTCTTTTCATCCTTATATATATCATCTTCTTTGATTATCCTTGTCTTTTACACCAATCACATTTATCTTCTTCTTACATGACATAACTTTCAAGATTTTCATATGAGTATCTTGAAGATTCTGCCGGATTTACAACACTTCTCCCCGCTATGATCTCTTAACATCTTTCCTTACCCGATTTACAACGGACCCCCCTAGTGGGCTCTGTGAAATATGATGTGGGCTAGCTAGGATGTGATCTCTCTTCTGGAGATTAAGCTAAAGAAGAAAACGCTAATGAATAGCAATCATCATGATGCTCGAATCTCAGAATCTCGTATAATCAATTTTGACGTTTAACGCTGGTCGTTTTGAGATACATTTCGTACTTGATTCGAACGTATACATCAGGCATTTGAATGAGACAATGTGCATGGGATGTGATTTCATTGTTCTTTACGTGTCATGTTTTGACACTCTGCATGCGGTCATCTGAATTTGCTGTCAAGTGTCAAGATATCGAATATCAAGCTATCTCCATTGAGAAGCTATATCCAATGTCAACCTATATCCATTGTCAAGCAGTCAAGTTTCAAGTTGTCGAGGGTCAAGCTTCCAAGTATCATATGAGCTTGGCTTGAGTTACCTTCAGATCCTCGTCGGAAAAAAAAACAATAGTCTCCCATACAGGTCATGTGAGTGAACGTAATAAAGTTCGTCGATGCATACGGGTAATCGTACTGTATAATGCCATGAGTCATTAAATCATAATCGTAAGAAAACGTAAATCGTAAAGGTCCATCAAAGTCGTAAATCCCCACCCTTAGCTGTCCCCAAGTTCCCATGTCCCCACCCACGCTTCTCGCTCCACTTCTAGGTTTGTGTGACCATAAGACGCCCACCCCCACTTTTCCCTCATCCCATGGCTCTACACCAAAACCGTTCCCACGTCAATACGATGAAGAGACAATCCTTTCCCATCTACAGTACCCCACGGACATCCCTCTTCATCTCACAGCTTGATCAAGAGGACTTGGATCACCCCAATCTCCATCCCTTAACCAATCCCAATCACCTTCTACCATTCTCACTTTCCTCAATCTCCTCCCTGGTGATCCTCCCTTCCCTACTGAGCCTATAGTCCGTATCGACATTCTAGGTGAGATGTAATCCTCTGAGCTCCCTCTTGGAGCTCCCACTACCCCCGCCGCATTTACCCTTTGCCTTTCTCGCACTTTGATCCTTCCACATCCTCTGTCATCCTCGTGTGCTCCATAAGCGACGTGAACACCACGTTTAGAGTCATCGAAATCAAAGGAATTCTGTAAATGTGTAGGATCATCCTGTACCAAAGTGGACGAAGCGGAAGGTTCTGATCTTTCCGCACTCCCTGACCCACCTATTGAATGCTGTTGATGGTCGTATGTTCTTATCAGATCTGGTGAAGTCCAATGGGTATGTGATTGGTGAAGCGATGTTCTCTTTGGTATCGTAGAATATCTTTTCCTTTCGTTGGTCCCCTCTCCGCGATTGACGATATGACGGTGGACATGAGGATTTCCAGAGGTTTGTCGAGGGCGAGGTATATATCGTTTTTCTTCCATATGGACATGAGAAGGATCTTCTGAGCTGTGTTGACGATTGTGAACAGGATTGACATGTCGAGGCGGAAGGGGAGGTAAGATAGAATACCTTCGATTTGGGGAAATAGGAAGTTTTACATGGTTGTATTTTCCCGGAGAGGTGATGATACTTTGTTTCTGCTCGATGAGATTGGTGTTGATGGGTATGGAAGAAATTGACGAGACGGGATGAATCTTTGGTGTCAAAGGGTAAGGATGAGAAATGTCTCCTGCGTTCAAGGGTCGAGATGAGGAAGGGAAGAACCGACAATTCAAAAGAGAATGAAAGATTCCCATTCATGTGGGATATCTGAGATGGTTGGTATATGTTTCTAAGTTGTTGTGCGATGAAAGTCTTGAGCACTTATGATTTCGTCTTTGTTTTGGTGGATGGAAGGAGGGTAGGAAGAGGAGGGAGCCGAGGAGTTTGAAGAAAGTACTGGAGATTTGGTGTTTCTTTTGGATAGAGAGTCGTTCGAAAGGTCTCTTTGTTCGTTGAGTGGGGTGAGTTTAGGGATAAGGTGCGTGTTGAGAAGCGAAATCACGGGCGTAAAAGGAGAAAGGAATGAACATGAGTTTTCCACTAAGTTACTTGAGTAATGTTGCTTCCTCTCTCTGAACACGCTGAAACTGTGTGGTTCACCCCGGGGAGGATTTGATGCCGTAGCCGAATCCTGGGGCTCCGCTTAACTTACTAAACCCTTCTCTCACCCCGAGATCCCCGATCTTTTGTTGCTTCCTGTTTTCCTCTCTCGCGCCCATATCCACAGTTTGACATTATACCTCAGTCAGACTCATGCTCAATCTTCTGATATGTCTGGGTGTAATGGTGAAAACGATGGTCATGGCACAACAAATACCCAACATGTTGGTTTTCACTGCCACAGCGGGGTATAGACATGATTCTATCGATACTGCCAAACAGGTGTTAGGAGAACAAGGGGGGAATTATAATGTCTCTTTTTCCTTCTCAGAGTGAGTTCATCGTCAAGTTTCGAAGGGAATGTGGAAGAAGAGCTTATGAGAAGAGATGCGAGCTTGTTCACTGATGATGGTTTGAGAGTGTATGATGGGATTATGTTCGCTTTGAACTCTGATGAGAGTGAGTCATTCATCATTTGAAGTCTGTCTCGTCTCGCCCTCCTTGTTTCTCTTGTTCCTTCTTCTTCTTATGTTTCTTCCACATGTTCATTTCAAGGTGACGTTGGGCCCGAGGAAGTGAGATGGTGGCACTGGGACGATGAAAGAGGGGTGGGTTATGGTATCGTGGGAGAAAGGGAGTGGGGCGTAGAACATGAGGATTAGAGTGGGGGCAGTAAATGAGGAAAAGGATATGGGGAAGTGCTGATGATACTCAGTACTAAATACCGACCAGCAAGCCGCTTTAGCAAGATGGATTCAATCGGGAGGTGTCATCGTGGCTGTTCATTCTGGTTGTGCTTGTCTCTACAACGACTCAGCATTCAATCAGAGTGTAGGAGGTGAGTTTATGCTTTCTCTTCCCTTCCCTCCCTTCCAAGTACCCCTCCAGTCTTCCTCTGACCTCAATACACCTCCCGGTCACCTGTCCTCAATACTGCGTTGTCTGTACTCGCGCCGTCTCCCCAACTCTGATCCCTTGTCATCAGGGGTATGATAGCTCATCCCTAGCACTGTTCGACTATCATCCCATGATCCAAAGTGCCGTAAGTCTCCCAATATCACCTGTCTTATGAGGTCTGAAACAATAGACATTCACAAGACTAAACACTACCCATCCTGCTACTTCGTCTCTACCCGATCGATGGACATATGACGAAGAAGTCTATTATTTCCGTTCTGATCCAAGGAGTAACGGTGCGGTGGTTCTTCTATCAGTGGATGAGAGTAGTTATAATGGTGAGTGATAGTCAATCTCTGAATATCGTTCACTTCATGTCAGACAAGCAATTTTGCGGAGGTGAGAATGTGAGCTGAATGGGACTGACGAACAGATGATGGATCTAGTTCTGGTAGTTACCCAAGTCAGGGAGAACCACATCCTATCGGTCAGTTTCCTTTCCCAATACTTCCTTCAATCCACAGCTCATAGGCCTTCAGGTCTTTCTCCTACCATAAAGGACACTTTTCCCATTGTTTGCTTTCCCAATTGGCCAATTTTTGATGTCATGGGAATATAGGATTATCATGTGATAGCTGATGTCCAGCATGGTATATCGAATCCCCATTGTCAGCACAACCCCTCCTCTTGGGAGCTGTTAAAGCAGGACGATCATTTACCACTTCCCTTGGACATTTGAATTCCAGTAAGTCCCCAGTTCTCGGTCCTATACCACATGTCCCCACAAAACCAGCTACACTCCCTATCTCCCAGATCCCTTGCATATATCTGACTTCAACTTTACACCAATACCCTCATACTCATACTCAATTCCTCCGAGATCTTCTACCCTCTATTCCAACCTAACTCAAAAGCTCCTTGTACGCATGTCTCTCATCACCCCATCTTCAAATATCCAAGACCGCCTTGGTTTTGGCTAATCCTCAGCATGGCAAAACCAAACATTCATCGATCACCTAATGGGAGGCGTCACTTGGGCTCTGGAAGGAGCTTCCACCTTGGCTTACGGTGTCGGTATAATAGGTAATGGATCTGAATCATCTTCTCTGGCTTCTCCTACTTCATCTTCTCCAAGTTCAACAAGTAACAGCATTGGATCATCTAGCAAAGTTGCGTCAAGTACAAGTAATAGCGCACCATCTTCCAGTGGATCGACCACATCTTGGGGAGAACAAACATATATACTCAATCGACAGAGTTTGGGATTGACTCTGGTAGTGGGAGTGTTGATAGGTATATGGACGTTTTTGTGAATCAGCCGATGATAGTGTGTACATTAAGGACAATAGTTTTCACTATCTAGCATCTAGCATCTAGTACTAGTAATAATACTATATCTCTGCATTAACATATATCTTCATCCCCATCTCTCCATCTATAGACATATGGTATAAGCAAACTCGCCCCAACTGAGCGCATGAACGTATTCCGGAAGGAAAACCATTTACACCGAGAGAGAGACTTGATAGAAGTGTGTTGAATGAGGGTGTTTCATAAAAAATGTTTGAACCTTCAAGAAATGCATAGTCTAACAATACGCTGGAAGCAAATCACAAGGTTGGCCTGTCACTTGTAATATTTGGTTGGTACGAAAGGCATGGATTTTACTATTCCTTTCCGTAACTTTTTACGAACTTCAATCTTGACTTTTGTACCTTTTTTATGTTGACCGTTAATCACGTATCCCATAGCTATGTTAGTTCCTAACGTAGGTGATGGTATACCAGAAGTTATCACACCTAAATGATTAGCTCTCTTCTTAAATCTACATCCAATTATCTGGTGTGTTACGACATCTGCACTCGGATAGCCTTTGCACTCTCTTATCCCCTCCTATTGGTTGACTTGATTGATGATGGCCAAAGATGATTCCATAAAGACAATCCCCGTTGGCGATACTAGAGATTCTGTGAGTTGTTCAATAGGATGAGATCTGGAATGTTGTTTAGGAAATGACAAATGAGGAGAAAAAGGAAATCCTAGACTGACCTATTTCTTTCTCTCCAGAGGCATCAAAAACCTTACATCCCTCTCTAGCGGGAGCACCCACAACTTCGAAACCCACTCTTCTTCTTGATGGAGCATTTGATAATTCTTCCAATATCCTCGATTTTCCCGGAAAAGGAATTCCTTCTGAGGTTCTACGATCTTTACCTATTACCCAACTCAACCCAGCTTCGACGGGAGATATCGTTTCGTCTAGATCATGACCATATAGACACATGCCGGCTTCTAGACGGAGGGAATCGCGGGCTCCTAGACCTATCAATTGGACATCGGGATGATTGGAGATTTCTTCAGTTATTGAGATTGTATTCTCAGGAGGTATGGAGATCTATCTTTCAGTACAAATTCTCTTCCCACTCCTCATGTCAAACTCATGATAGAGTGATTCTGAGGGAAGGGATCTTTTGATGAACATGTCAAATTTGATTGACGATGAAAAAACGTTTAATAAATCACCTCAAAACCATCTTCACCCGTATAACCCCCTCTTGCCACATGACACTTGATCTTATCTTTCCCAATCTCAGCATATACGCTCTGACCAAATTTCACCCCTTCCAAAGATGTCTCAGTAATACTCTGCAAGACTTCTGACGATTTGGGTCCTTGTAGAGCTAACAATCCCCATCCTTCCAATACTTCCCACTTGACAACATCCGTAGGATGCTCGGCGTTCCATTTGGACAAAGCGGTTTGGAACATTTCACAATCCTCAGTGGAACGTCCAGCATTTGTGACGACGTAAAAAGAATCGGAAGAGTGTTTGGTGATGATAGTATCATCTATGATCCCCCCGGATTCATTCAGGAAGACAGAGAGCGTGGATGTGAAGGGTGAAAGGGAATGAAGGGAGGATGGACAAAGTGACAAGAGGAAGGATTGAGAGGTAGGACCGGAAAAACGGTGTTGTAACATATGAGAGACATCGAATAATCCGGCAGAAGTTCGAACGTGGTTATGGGCGGCGACTTGGGTTCAGTCAAGCTCTTATGCATTCCCATATTTGGTGCTGCGGCACAGAAGGTGTCGCCATAAAGGTGCAGACAGCGGGGGTAAGTCATCATGGTTCGAAGATCAAAGGTGATGGTCTCGAGATGAGGCAATGATGGGATCATTCATTTCCATCATAAGTGGATTTGAGATGAGGCGAGGAAAGAAGGGAAAACCCACTCTGTCCGACATCACCATAACTCAATGGCATGGACCATCCTGCAAACGGAACCATCTTGGCTTGATGTGAGACGTGAAAGTCGTACAAAGGTGTATGTTTGAGCTTTTGAATCAGCTTGTTCGATTAGATATATCAAAAAACGACCAACTGACCTGTTGAAAGCGCAGGGTTGACGCAGAGAATGAACGAAGGACAGTCCGAGTTAATTGACGTGTCGACATCCTCAGACATGGGGCACCATGAAGGACGGGACGAGAGACAAGCATCATGTTGAGCAGGTAGCAGGGAAGAGAAGAAGATGTGAGGATAGATGTGAAAGAAGTAAAGAGATGGGAAGAGCACTATCAAGTTGGAGCAACAAAACAAGATCACGATTGATGTTAGGTTTGAGTGGGAAATTCTTGTCGGAATGAGGAAAGTGTAGGACGAGTGAAGTTCCGTCGGAAGCGATTAAGCGGGAATGTCCGCTTTATTGCCCCATTCGGACAACCCCCCCAACGTACCAACGTCACTTGCAAGTCGTCCTCACACCATCTCATCACCCATCTGCACCAAACCCCCCCGTCATGTACTTTTCAACAGCTCTCTTAGCTCTTCCCCTGCTGGCGTCTGCCGTACCTTCCTTCAAGAGAGATCGAGAGCAGTTGACCTTTCTCCCACATGTCGACCCGGCGACAGATCATGGGCTTCAATTGGATCTGAGTGAACTGCGCCTGGTGCAATTCGCAGAGGATGAACCACCCGTGTATGTCTCCACCTCCACATACGTAAAGACTGACTTGACTTTATAGGTGGATAAGCGAGCTGGAGAAAATACAAGCCAAAGCGGACGGGAAGAGGTTTATGGACATGTGAGATTTTGGTCGAAGGGAAAGGACCGAGAGCTGAAGAGTAGCACTGATACCCCCACTTTGGGATTCTCAGGATATTTACTGCCATCATCTGCCAGTGTCAAGTACAGTGAGTGAACAAGTGATGAGGTCTACGGTGTCGCTGATTGGATAGCATACCCAACGCCAGGTAATTATAGCGAGGAGATCAAGAGAATACACAAGTCTTTGGATATAAAACATATGAAGAAGTTCCTTTCGAAATTCACCAGGTGGATCATCTTCTCTAAAACCTCAAGCGATCGTTTGAGCTGATCCTCAGCTTTAGAACGAGATACTATCGATCGGAGACTGGGAAACAGAGCCAAAAGTTCCTGCTGTCCACTATAACAGAGGTGGATCTCATCCCTAGCGAAAGTCATCTCAGCTGAATGAGGATTTCAGATCGCTTCCTCCCACCCCAACATCACTATCAAAGAATTCCCCCACCCTTGGGGACAGAACTCGATCATTGTCCGATTCGCCCCCGCTACCCCTGAGGCGGATTCAGCTCCGGTAACTATCATTGGCGCCCATCAGGATTCCACCAACCAATGGCCTTTCCTCCCAGCACCGTCAGTTATGTCTGCGGTACTCGGTAGTGTGCTGAATGTGCTGATGAACAGTGGAGCTGACGATGATGGCTCTGGTACCACCTCATCTCTTGAGGGCTTCTCCGCTTTGATCAAGGCCAACTTCACGCCCTCTACTCCTGTCGAGTTTCATTACTATTCGGCGGAAGAAGGGGGCTTGCTCGGCTCACAGGCTATCGCTAAGGCTTACGAAGACGCGGGTAGGAAAGTTCTGGCCATGTTGCAAATGGACATGACTGCTTGGATCAAGGTCGGAACTAAGGAAAGTGTGGGGATTATCCAGGATTACGTCGATCCTGGTCTCACTGAGTTTGTGGAGGAATTGGTAGATCTGTACCGTATGTCGCAGCTGATCCGGGTGGACTGGAGAGAAGCTGATCAAATAGTCGACATCCCTGCAGTCAAGACGAAATGTGGTTACGCATGCTCTGATCATGCGTCGTTCGGTAAAGCGGGCTATCCATCGGCCTTCGCGTGAGTTCGACGTCGTCTTGATCCAGGGATGGAGCTTACGACTCTTTTCAGGATTGAGAGTACCTTTGAGAACTCGAACCATAATATCCACACTAGCCAGGACACGACGGATCATCCAGAATTCTCATTCAAACACATGAAAGAGTGAGCCTCTGATCTACCCTGACTGCACCCAAGCTGACTTTTGTAGGTTCTCCAAGCTAGTCGTGGCTTTTGCCGTCGAGCTCGGCGGTCTCGAGTGACCTCATCAATGTCGTGCATTGTAACACTTGCATTGTGAGCGTTGTATTGATTGCAGATCATCCTCCTGCTCAATTGCGATTATGTTCCATTCATTGACAGCTCCTGACATGCACTGACAGACCCCTATCACGACGTTGCTCACGTTCACACCCTTCTCCCCCCCAAACGGGCATTTTGATCCTGATTACAGCTGAAACGGCCTACCGGCTTAGATCCATTGATGTTTCCCTATCCCCGATTCCCACCCTCCTTTCTTCATACCTACTTTATCCCTGCCTTTGCTGCGTGGTTCGTCTATGACCTGCGGTGAAAATCTCGCATTCCCAATATGGACGCCTTTGTGCTTATCACATTGTGTAAAACTCGGCTTCACATCTTTGAATACTTGACAGTCTTACCAAGGTTCAACAAGACGGGAATATATCGACTGGGCGTAATGGCACGATATACGCCCACTCGCTTACTCATCTCTTTACTGGCAGTACTCAGCTTGCTCATCTTCCTCATTCACAGTCCATCTTCCTCCCCCATACAAGCTCTTCGAACGAGATCATTTCCTTATGCTCGATGGATCGAAGATTGGACCACTCAACCACCTCGAGCTCAAAACCCTCTTACTGCACCTCCGTCAACATGGGGCCAGGCATACGAAGACGAACGTATGTCTCTCCTCGAGGAGAAAAATTATGATGCCGAATGGATGGCATGGGCTATCGGTACTCCTGAACATAATCAACTGGGTGGCAACCTCACAGCTTATTTGGATAGATTAAATCGATTTGTCGATACTTACTTCGAAGGAAGCCCATCCAAACCTGCTTTGAAACAAATGCTTCGTAATCTCGGCCATCATGTCCCCCCTCCGTTGTTGGATCAACCGATGAGACGTAAGGTGTTCAGTACCTGCAAAGGAGGAAAGGAAGAAGTACCGGAGGGCTTCAACCAATGGGAACGGAGGTTGGGTCCGGTGGGTTGGGAGGTAGAAGTGGCTGATGATGATAGAATGCAAGAATGGTTTTCTGATGCTATCAAGGGTGATGGGTTTGGGAGGGGGGAAGAGAAATTTAGGAGAATATGGGATGCTTTACCCAAACAAGTTTTGAGAAGTGATCTTTTGAGGTGAGTTTCTATTCATCTCAATTGTCGTCTTTTCTCTTCTCTTCCTTCTTATGTCATCATACTCTACCTGCGTTAATATTTCTTACTCCTTCATATCTTGTGTAGGAAAAGGAACGTCGTTATGAGACGAAAGTCATGAGCTGATAGTCACAGATATCTTATGATACTCATTCACGGTGGTATCTATACCGATTCTGACACTCAACCACGTTCACATCCATTCTTATGGGGAACAGATGCTCAATCTCTCATGCCCCCATCTCTCAAAGCTATAAATCGTATGCTTCAATCATATTCCCGTCATCCTGCATATGATAACCTTTCTATTGAACCACAAACTCCTGAATCTCCTTGGAATTACGCAGACAGTTATCGCGGGGGGATAGGAGATGACGATGTGGCTTTCGTGGCCAGTATAGAATGGGATAGTTTCGAAAGGGATTTAGGAGAGAATTGGTGTTGTGGTTATTGCAGGGCTTTGCAAGTGGTACAGTGGACGATTGTGGTGAGTACTGCTTCTGTTCCCTGTATGATTAAGCCCGATAGTCACCCCAATGTTGTTCTTCTCGATTCCCCCGTCATCTCATCTGCCAAAAAAATTGAAAACAAGCCTCTCGTTGAGCAATTCGTCTCGACTGAGTGATGATTATCACACATGATTTTGGCATATTTTACGGCTTTTCAATCCCTTTTCAATACCGATTCGTAACCCCTTCTCCGTGATTACATCCATCTCAATTGTTATAACCAGGGTCATCTATGAGAGAATCCTATCAGGAGAATCAGTGGAAACAAAAGAAGTGAAACTAACAAACCCAAGGCAAAACCATTCCATCCCATCATGCTCGACGTACTAGAGACCGTAGTGAATAATATTGAAAAAGGGATAGAAGAGAATAATCTTGATGGTACTGTCAGAGCAGTACGTCTTCCTCTTGATACGATTTAATTATACTGATGGAAAGTTGGATTTAACTGGACCAGGACCATTGTGAGTGACACTGACTTCTCCCTTTCCTCCTTTGCTTATTTTTTTCATTTCCTTCAAAATTTACCTCTCAGTACTCTTTCTCCACTTCCCCCCTCTTTTGAGATGATTTCTCTCATTCTTTAATCAACTTCGTCTCTATCTTTACCTGCTCTGTGCATCTCCCATCTTACTTCATACCATCACACACATCTTTCCCGCCTACAAACGAAGTCGATACTATCAGACATTCTTCCCTTCAAAACCCCTCGTGAAATAGGGAAAAACCAATACCAAGAAGGTAAAACTGACAATCAGTACCGACGCAGTATACCGTTACCTCCTAGCTCAATACGGTGTAACACCCCTTGACCTGGTTCGTAGACCAGAGATAAACACTAAAATAGGAGACGTGATACTTTTACCTGAATGGAGTTTCGCACAACCTGCTCCTCAACCTAACGAATGGGATTTCACAGGACCTTCACCTACTTTCAGATGTGTTTCTCATGGTTTCATGGGAAGGTGGAAGAAAGAGGGATGGGGTGATTGATTTGATATTATGCATGAGTTGTATACATGTTCCGTTGGGGTACTAATCACATTCTGAGAATACCTGTTGATGTCATTGGTTTAAAGGTCATCTTCATGTGCTTTTCAGTAGAAGATCAACAGAGTTTGTCTCAGACCCAGTTTGTATCCATGTGCGCGGCTTGAAGATAGGGACGAGATACGGAATATTAGTGGGGGTTATTTTAATTGCATTGGATTGTACTGTTTGTGTGAAAAGATGTTATAATCAGTTAATATTTGAACAAATGCTGAAAAAGTAGCTGAAAGACTGGATAATTATTTTCATACAGCTCGAGAAATACAACAAAATGTGTTTTAATCCATCTCGACCCTTCACTCCTGGATCCTGCATAATCAACCATACAGTCTTTATCCATATATCATCATCTCAATTTCAATTACATCCCGTATGAAATCCCTTATCCCAAATGTTAACCCCGTTTACGATCCTCATGAATTTCACCATCATCCTTGGTCCGAGGTTTGATGACAGATCGGACTTTCGGGATATACGGTGATTCCAACTACGAAATCGATGATAAGTGAGGTTTCAGACCACGCCGGAAATCTCAACTATCAGAATCACCCCGTCTCCGATAACTTGTGATGATTTCGTAGACCTTTTTAAATGAGTTGACATAAAGAGATGACAGAGAAACTTTACATACCAAATACCCATTTATCAAGTTTTGAAAACAATAATCAAGATTAACAAAACGAAGATTAAACCAACAATCGTCACTGTGCTTCCATACTTTTTAGCTTCCCCAGCTACTTTATCTAACCTCCTTTTGGCTTTTCCTAATCTAGCAGTTGTCCGATCCATAGCTAAATCCGTCTCTTCTAAAAGATCATGATGTAAATCTAGTTCTGAACCTATTTGTATACTGAGATGGTTTTGCCTATGAAGAGAATGGGATAGAAGGTTTAGACGTTCGTCTTGATCTTATTTTAGTCAGCTTGGTTTTTTTATGATCGTACTCCCATCCGTTTCTTTGGGGGGGGGATAAGTTTAGTATGGTGTTTTTGACAGAACATTCTTGGGTTGATAAGGGATCAAGTGGCATGTCTTGGGACAGACAAGATTGGAAAGTGTTACTATTCTGGGCATGATTTTCGTGAGATCGAACAACAGAGGGTCATACCCTGACGAAAGACATAGGGCAATGGGTCGCGAGGGGTAAAAGTTTTCAAAGAGATGATGATAGGAGAAGATGTGAGTATGGAAGAAAAACATACCGTCCATCATCACTTGTTGTGTTTGTAACAACTCTTGTGGAGTTTTACCTCCTTCTTCCTCTGAATCATAATCTCTAAAAGGTTGATCTGATGTTTCTACTCTTGAAGGTCTAACAATGGTGTCTGACGCAGATGTGTCCTGATTAGATGTTGAGATATTAGAAGAGGAGGGAAGTTGATCTTGGAACGGATCAGAGTCTAGGGGGTTATTAGGCGTAGGAGGGTCTATAGAGAGGATAGGAATGAGATTCGAAGTGGAGGCAATAGAGTTTTGTGCTAGTTGAGGTGGTGAAATGCTTTTGACTGGGTCTGAAGAGGATCTACATGTCAGTTGTTTACGAATCCTTTTCCTTTCTTTTCCATTCAATTCACTTCCTTTTCAACCAACATAGTCTTCCTCGTCTGAACAAGTATTTGTTGAATTACCGAGACAGATGGAGAGAGAAATCTGTATACTTACACCTTTCTTTCCCTCCGTAAACCCCTCACCAACACTTCTCCAACTTTATCCTCCCCCAACATACTTAATAAACTATCATAACCCCTTTCCAAATCCCTGATCTCATGTATCACCCTCGGCGTCGCTGGTCTTTTACCCACTTGTAATCCTGAAGTCTCCAACGCCGCTTCGTCGGATAGTTGTGAAAGGTCAGATCGGATGGAAGTGAGATTACGAACTATCTGAGCCTGTGCCGAGGGGTTGGAAGGTAGGGAAAGGGAGATGATACGGGATCTTTCGAGGATGAGAGTGGAGGTAGTTGTGAGACGTTGTTGTATGGAGGGGATAGATGGAGACATTTTGGATATGAGCTGGACAAGATGTTTCTTGAGGAAGAATGAGTTGCTAGTTGCTAGTTGCTAAGTTGCTTGCTGTGGATGGAAGGTTGGACTAACGTCGGAGACCGAGGAGGAATAGCTCAGTCCGCTTTGTTTACGTAATGATTTTCGACACTCATACGAGTTCTCCAGCATATTGGTATGGCAGGGAGCGATATTTATGTGAGGGCATTGCATGTATAGATGTAAGTGACAGGTAGCATGAGCCAGAACGAGACAATGCATTGTATAAAGTGTACATATCGCTACTCAAGCCGACGCATCTTCATGCAAGAGCACATATTCCCGGCTGGACGTACCAAATTTGATCACTACTAATCAGCTGTAACACAGGCAAGTGTCCACAATTCCAGTGCAGCTCACCGTCAGTATTTCGTAGTTCATAATATCTAGCCATATCAGCGGGTCACATCTTCACATTAGTTAAACCGGAAGACATACCGAGATTTGGGCACTTCCTGATCGTTGACAAATGTTCCGTTGGTGGATTCAAGGTCTATGATGAATGGTCTGTAGGTAAGCTCAAGAGTCGCTTTTCCCTCGTCCTGCACCTGAACAATTTAATAACCTCTTACGACGACATAGTTAATTCTGTGTGACAGTAAGATCATGATTCGATCCTAGCACAACATGCGGTGAACATATATATTCTGCGCATGGTCTAAAGGTGCAGACCCGCGAGGGAGGGTTAGAACGAATGAAGAATATCGTTAACTCACTTGACGCTAGTACTAACTTCCCCATACTCGTTCTTCTCACTGATCTGTCTGAATTGTATCACAGCATGTTGTTTCGAGCATGATGGATGAGCGATAGGTATGTCTGTGACCTCTTCGTAAGCTGACAACATTGGATCGAGGTGGTGAACTTACCACTGTATCTCTCCCGATTAAGTAACATGATTGTTTGTAGATATGTATCAGATCTATCTATCAGTCATGTCACAACAACTTTTCAATATGAGCTAAGTCCAAGTTAGGTTTTGAGGAGCTTCTGGAATACGTGAGAAGAAAACATGAACCCACCGATCTGCTCACTTCCCTTGAAAACGTACAGCCTCCAATTCTTCAATGGCTTTCTCGCTTCTGGCGGTTCATTGTATTTGAGTTCCACACCTTTGACCGTATTCGTCTCTTTTGCAAGAAGACCGGAAGCTGAGAAATTCGGTTTGGGAGCTTCGGCGACTGTACCGTCCTACTCGTCAGTTCGGTCGCTCATCCTTCACCGACGCCATCCCTTCTCCTCTATCTCTCCAAGATCTGTATCACAACCACTAAGATAAACCCCTGGTAATGGTGAATTAGACGTGATTGAATGTAGAAACGAGTCAAGGGGAAGATGAATAAGATCTCGACTTACAGGATCCCTTTTGACAACATCATCATACTTCTTCCTATCCCTATCCCTTTCCTTCTCCCTGTCCCTCTCTGTATATCCCTCATCCCTCGGTCTCTTCCCTTCTCCTCGTCTACCATCCCGTCTTTCAGAAGATCTTGGAGGTTCTTCACGATTATAGTATCCCGGTGAACGACGTCGTGAAGAAGATCTACCGCCCCCGTTGGTACCCCATTCTCTGCTATCGGGGGAGAAGGATCTGCCGCGGATATGTACTCTGGGCTCTGGAGATTCTCGCCATGTTTCTGGTCTGGGCATTCTGTCCTAATCCGTCGTGGATACACAAATCACGTTTCCACTTGTTAAACGAGCTGAATTTGGTGTGAGAGACGTTGAGGAGAGAGGTGAAGACAAGAGGTGATATGTGAAGAGAGGGAGGTTGGAAAAGTCTAGAAGCGAGGAAAAGGATTGATATCTCATTTTGAATTCGCATCATGTCTATCGAACGAGCTAAAGTCAGTCGTTTTCCTTTATGTCTTGTACGTGACTGACGATATAGGGCATACAAGTGCATAGACCTATCATCTATGGCTCTCATGCTAGGTTATTGAGCGAAGCGGAGAAACAATTATCACCACCGGGTCGTGAGTGTTCCTCGTCATCCCCACCTCCTGAATTGATCCATTTCGTCCCTCCTTCAACCTGTACTTCCCGATGGCGATGAGGTGTAGAAAGTAATGAGGAGGTATCATGCTGACAAGACTTCAGACACACACAGATGGACTATCTTCCTCACTTCTGCCGCGACACCTCCCCCTCAGCCGACCGACCCTCCAAATGGAGATGATATGGATTACATACTTGGAGGAGCAGACGATATGTCTTACTTCATCAAACGGGTCACTTTCAGACTTCACGAGACTTATGCCAATCCTTCTAGAGGTGGGTTCAGACTTCACTCTCCCACCCCCATAAAGAAACTCGAGTCACGTTGCATTGGTCTGTGCGGACGCCAAGCTGGAGGTTACTATTTGTGTGTGTCCAAAAAAGGAGGCTGACTATGTACCAGTACTGGACAAACCTCCATATCAAGTCACCGAAACTGGTTGGGGTGAATTCACCGTTCAAATCAAAGTTCAATTCATCTCTGAATCCGGTGAAAAACCTCTCAATCTCGCACATCCTATCAAACTTCATCATTGGGGACCACCCATCGAACCACTTTATCCACCTCTCGCCCTTCCCTCCGGACCCACAGACTCCACTCCCAAACCTACTGCTTCGGCTGATGTACAAATGGAATCATCTCCCGCTGTGAACCTAACCTCAACTCCTGCCGTCGAAAACAACGAGGTCAAAGAAGAACTCCAAACTCCCAAACCACAAGAAGACGCATCCATCCCTCCTGCTACCCCCCTTCCAACCGCGGACCCAGTACAACCTTCTCCGATCTCCGTGGCAGCGAGGTATCCAGTTCACGCTTGGCAATATGATGAGATAGTATTCACTGATCCTCCTTTGGTCTTTCTGAACATACTGGATGCAAATTTGCCCACTCCCTTACCGCCCAAAAACCGTCGACCGAAGGATCAACGAGAAGTTCATGAGCTGAAGAGTGGCAAGAAGAATCAGAAGAATCGTCCTGTTCTATCAGCGGCCAGTAGAGGCCAAAGTAGGACCGGAGAGCAGACCCCTCAGGCTGCCACCGGGAATGTCGCGGCAAGCGTCGGGACCCCAGGTCAGGGAGTGGGTACTCCGGGAGGTGTACCGCCCCCGGGAGCGATGACCGTAGGGATACCTGGAGAAAGTGGGAGTGCGGATGTTCCATTGGAATTCTCGGTGGAGATGGAGAAAGCAGAATATAATAGGTTGAACGATGCGAGGATAGAGTTGGTTTCTCAGCAGGATCGATGGCGGTATGTTCATTCTATCTTCAATATTTGTCCCCCGCACCGCTCATCACCGTTTCCTCGAATGACGAGAGGAGAGTGATTCACCGCATGGGGATCATAAAAGGTTATGCTGAGCCATATATGAGAAGTACATTTGCCATGGCATCGGGAGGACAGTTATATGGCCGCGGATGAGAGGACAGCCCGAGACCGCCTAGACGTGGACAAAGGGTGACATGCAAGATGTCAGGGACAAGGGAACTGTTCTTGATGGGCTGATGAGTAGTGAAAAGCTGATCGCTTTGGAGAAAGAAACGGCCCGGCTGAAAGAAGAAATGGGGATCGTCTAAAGGTTTCAGGAGTTGCGTGAGTCAAATGTCTATCTGCATAAGTCAGGTCAAAAGACCAATGGTCTATCTTTGGTACCAAGAGGATCTTACAACCCGTACTGAGTTTCAAAGGGCCGACTCATATCCCGTTTTTCAACACTTTAATCCTTTCATGGATGATGTCGCCTGCCTTTGTGTGGGTACCCCTGTAATCGATACGGAGGATTGATATGTTGACTCACTCCTTTCATCCACTTTCTTGTGTCCCCATAAATGGTCAGACATCATCTGTTCAACTTTCTGAATATCTTACCTCTCCCTCACGATTGATACACTGACGCGGTACACTGTTTCAAAATCCACCGCGATCCCAAATTTCCCAAGAAATCAGCAATCGATATGTCCTTTGATCTCCAAAACTTGCTACGTTCTCGATATAGGCTAATACAACTTGTCCTCGTCTTCATCGTAGCAACGACCATTCTGACCTTGACCTTGGCCTATGTGACGGATACACCTCTTAGTTTGCTACCCTCAACATCTTTACCTTTTTCTTGGCAATCACAAGATGAAGTCAACATACCAGCCTCTCATGAAGATGATGATCTTTCATCTTCTCGACCGAACGGACAAGTTGATGAAGATGGAATTTTGAATGAAGAAATCATAGAGATGAGACGACCAATTTTGGTCATTCAACATTTCGCTCCACTTTCCGCTGGGACAGGAGCAGAATTACAAAATGCTTCAAGGGAGACACATAGAAGGTATTGTCAAGCGTGGGGATATGGATATATGGACGATCATGAATCTTATGTTCCTGATGAAGATGGAGCAAAGAATGTCAATAAGCTTTATTCGTTATTGAGGTTTATGGTGGAAGAAGAGGGTAAAGGGGATAATGGTGCGGAATGGATCATGTGAGTTGATCTATCGATTTATCTCCTACCTCTCCTTCCCTTCCCATCTTAATTCTCATTTCTATTTATCAAGCATGCTGAGCTCTTTAAACAAGTCCAAGTGATCTCGATCCATTATCTCTTCTCATCCACTTCTCACAGGTTCACTGTTTGGCTCATGTGACATCCATCTCAGGCTCCCTTCTCAGCCGTATAACCTGATAGTTACCATATATCAGATAAGACATCTTAGAGAATGTAAGAAACATATACGTACTAATCGAGCACGAAAGAAAGAAAAGTCCAGAATGATGAAATCTAACTGACAAATAGGCAAACAGATGCCGATACACTCATCTACAACCCTTCAATCCCTTTACATCATCTCCTTCCTCCTTCTCACCTCACACCAACCCCTTGGATATTAGGAAACCAAGATAGTAACGGATTCAATGATGGTGTGGTTTTATATCGAGTTTGTAGGGATATAATCGATATGCTCATTGCTGCTTTATCTTGGGAAGCCGAGGAAAGGAGTAAAGGAGAGAGTCCAAGTGATCAATATAGTTTGGCACATGTTATAGAATGGGGAGGTGGTTTAGACAAACGGGATACAATCATAATACCTGAAGTGGAATCATTTTTGTTAAAATGGATGAAGTCAGGGAAACATGTGAAGGATACCGGGGTTGACAAGGAAAGGAATATCTTGGGAGAAAACAAACCAGAGACGGAAGATAGATTGGATAACAGGAATTTTGAAAGGTTCAGAGAGATAAAACGAGGTAAAATATTCGGAAGAAAAGGTCATAATTCCCTCCTTCGAGATTTAACGCAATTGAAGGAAATGAAGGGAAGGACGATTGATACTAAATCCAACAACTTCGATACCCGTCGAAATATGGGGGGAATATCAAGAAGTTTTACTAGAGGAAAAAGAGAAGATCAAGAAAGAGGTTCAAAATGGTCAAAACACTTTTATATCATACCCATGAAATGGTTGAATGATTATTATACAGATTCAGAAGAAGGTTCTCAATCTGATGGTTGGACACCTCAATTACACGTTCATTTAGTTGCTGATTTGAAATACAGAGTTGATTGGGGTTATATAATTGAATCTGCTGAAGAGATTTATAGGAGGGCTGATGAAGTCGCAAGAGCATATAAAGCTGGTTCCAATGACATATCTGATGAATCTCAGGGAAAAGTGAGTAGGATGGAGAGAATGATAAGATCAAATCGGAATCGAGATGAAGTTCAGAAGAAGGATAATGAGAAAAAGGAGAAAGGGAAAGAGGAAGAGGATATGAAATTGGTTTGGATAGAAGTGGAAGAAGATGATAAACATTATCAAATAGATTTGAGTGAAGAAAAAGGTGAAGGAATAGGATTGTTATTGTTAGATAATGGTGAAACGGCTGATGCTGCTAAAAGATGGTGGGAAGGAGAAGGTGGACAAGCAGGGATAGATAGAATGATATTTAACACTATCTAAATCGAGGTTTGAACCTTTTGTTCACATCTTGTATCGTATTAATATACTATATTTGTTGTACTGTATGACAGATGAAAGATTCATTTGCCATCGTTTCATATTCACTCTCAAGGGTGTTGGTCAGTCTATGAACGGATGATGAAAGTGTATCTATGAGATGACAGATGGATACGAATACATTTCAACGACCTGGAAATAAATCAAGTAAGAGAGTGGTGAATCAGAATGAATCTTTACATTCTGATACAGGTATTTGCGATGATTTGACAAGGTGATGTGGGAGAGTTATGTGGGGAACGAACAGTGGAAAAATTATAATCTATGAAGCTTCCTTGTATGGATATTCGAATTTTGCGTTTTTCTTTCTCCACAACTTACGTCTATCTCATCAGCTCTACTAAAAAAACAAAGGAGAAGGAGCTTGTACTAACTTCTTTTTCTGAGTGACATGTTCTACGAAAACTTCCACACAATGTTTCGTTTTAAAATCACGAATGAATCGTGGGTCCCTGATATCAGCATTGTACTTTACGTGCTATCACACCTTTTTTACTCCACTTCCATCTCTACCACTTCAAAACATGACATTTGAAATTATATCATTGTCAACAACGGCAAGACCAGCAATTTAACCGAGAAGACCTTTATGGTGATACCTAGATATTGTATATGGAAGAAGATCGTATAGAAAATAACGGAGAATGATCATACGATATGACTATGATAACGAACAACAAATAGATATCGATAGATGAGTGAACAAATATATGCGAAGGATTCATCAGTTGGATTAATCGGACTTAGATGGAAGAGTGAGTGCGATGAAAATCATCTCTGCAAGGGAGATAGTGTGAGCGAGGAGAGAATGATAGTGGACGATGGGAAAAGGGGAAGTGGGGAGGAGAATATGATAGGAAAAAAACTAACCAAAGTTCACTAGCGATTCCTAAATCTTTACAACACCTCATCAAAGCATTACTCTTACATGCTTCAGTAGCAGTAGGTATACCAGAAGGATCAAAATATTCTTGTTCTCCTCTTGCTATAGCTACCAATCTTCCTAAACATACCAAACCCCATTCTCTCGATACTATCCTAGGTCCTACGTTTGTTTCTCCCCTTGGAGCTAGACCCCAACCACCAGGACCGAAGGCTGCGTTGAGTGTACGACGATATTTGATTTCGGGGAGGTAAAGTAGGCCGTCTGGGATGATCAGTACGTGTGTTCTCTTTATTTCTAACTTCAAGAGCATCATGAAGTATCATCATAAATCGTGTATTCATCATATGATTCATGGTTTCGTCTTCATAATCCATGAATTTGTCGTCTACGAAAACTCTTCTCATCCCATCATCGAATAAAAAAAATTCAAGCCATGAAATACCTTATGTGATGGAAGATGGCTGACGAGCCAAACACAAGGTAAGTTGGAAGATGAGATTAATCGAATTATGAGAGGTGGGAAATGAGAATTATAAGAGGTGGGAAATGATCAAGCGACAAAAAAGTTAAGGATTGTATAAAAACGATTAACATACCAGGTTTGACCTCAACATCATCAACATGTAAAGGTTTCAATAATTCATTCGCTACTTCTTTAGGAAAAGGTTTTTCACTCAAACCTCTAAAAGAAGTACTCCAATCGAGTCCTGTACTTATAGCTTCTCCTTGAATTTGACCATTTAAAACAGTTTGACCAGATTGTAAACCGTTATTGCCAATAGTACCAATAGTAGTCGATCTTAAACCTGATACAACCTGTTGTCCCACTGTAGCCAAAGATGATGGAACAGGATTAGAGTTATAATCTTCGGTCATAGTGGGTAATGGTACATATGCTTCTCCTGGTAGTACATTTAAAGGAGGACTGACTTCGGAAAGATGAGCATAATCTTCGATTGGTGTATCTTGAGGTAAAGGGAAATCTTCTTTTGGGACGGTGTTAGATCGAGAAATGGTTTTACGGACATACTTTCGAGGAGAGACAGAGGGGGTGGTGGCTGGGGATGCGGCTGCAGCTGCGAGACGGATTGGATAGGTTGAGAATGTTCTGGAAAGACGTGGGATGAGAGACATTTTGTATTGTTGGTTGGTGGGGTGTGGTGGATGGAGATATGGATGAGAGAGAAGATGAAATTGGTAGTTACAGTAGACTGGACGAGATCGCGGGTGAGTGGGTGGCGAAATCTTATTCCCAAAGTGGAAATTTTCAACCTCAGTCCTCAATTCTGAATGGCAGGATGCAACGCCAGGGGGCACAGGCTGAAGACATTGTTGTCAGCTACAGGAACGTGGATGTACAACATGAAATAATCATGATTAATCGAAGATATCCAAAGGGACACCTCTGACACATCGTGAAATGTTGCCGAACGACTAACAAAAATGTGATAGTGATACATATTCAATTCACCCAGAAGTACCTGTATGCTCTTTCTGTCGATTGGCAGAATCCCATAAAAAACTATCCCGTCAGCGTCTCGCAACATGATGTACCCTGAGAAAAACTCACTAATCACAACGGAAATCACGATTGACATCTTCTCGAGGTCTCTTCGATCTTCCAGTGTCGTACCCCGCTCCAACAGGACTAAACAGTCAGCCATATCTCCTCGCTGATGTATCTGCCATATGAGACCAGTCGAAGCATCATCGTCACATGCTATGACACTCCAACTGATCACGGGATGACCAGCATCATGAACCGGGGCACCCTTTTCATTGTGAAGGACGAATTGAGTAATTGTGGGGGGATTGTAATTGGGAACGAGGTCAAAGCAATACTAACAGAGAACATAGCCAAAACCTTTTTCCCTTATTCGGTCCAGGTATTTTCACAACTGTCTCATCAGCAGTTACACACATGTGTATGACAGACAACTCACTAAAATCTTTACATGGTTGTTGGTGTACTGTACACAAAGGTGGAATCTTCTTAGCGAACAAATTTGACCACACGGGGGCAGCTTCAGCATTGGTTTTCGCTCTTTTTTGAGCTTTGACTTCATCCGCTTCCGCTAAAGCTTGAGCTATCAAGGCGTCTTCTTCAGCCGTCGTTCCTCTTTCGACTTTCTCCGCGGGGGACGTTGGGGTTGTCTTCGACTTGGGAGATTTGGAAGATTTGGGGACGGGAGTAGGTGGAGATTTCCGTTTTGCCGATGAGGGCGGTTGAGCGAAAAATGAAGAGAGTTTAGTCTGACCATTGGTAGGAGGTTTCGACTTGTTTTTATTACTGTTCTTGGATTCTTTCGATTGACTAGACTGTGAAGTAGAACGTTTGGGAGAGGGTTCATCTTCATCAATTATTTCAATACTTGTTCTCCGCTTTTGAGTACCACTTGAAGATTGAGGCTGAGAGGTCGACGTCGATGGATTGTCGATAGAATTAAAAGCCATTCGAGCCATCCCAAATGGTGTTTGAGGGGTGTCTTCAATGACCGAAATCGACGGTCGGGCCTCCATGATCGGCTCTGCAGTCTTCTCCAATCCAGCCACTCCGGACGACGGACCGGCCACAGGAGATGGAGAGACGTCATTGGTCCCTGTACTGATGACCGATACGCTCCTAACTTTTGGTCCACTCCCGAAGAAACTCTTCAAAGTGGTTTGACGACCGCTAAATTCGTCCCAAAATTTCGTGGCGAATCTCGGTGGTTCTGGTGCTTCTCGAGTAACATCACTAGGAAATATTGTGGTTGTCGTCGGTGGTCGATCCAATGGGTTGAGAGCGTCATGAAGAGTGAGGATTTGACCGGAAGGAAGACTGATAGATTCATGTAGGTCTATATAGACTGGACAATGATCCGAGCCGTAAACTTTTGGAACAATATCACCACCTTTGATCCAGGGTCTCAAACCTGGAGTGCAGAGGATGAGGTCTATCCGGGAACCATAATTTGATGGTCTGTGATCAGCCATGTGGAACTTATTGACGAGATCCCAAATGTTCACCAATATTCAAACTTGGAATGAGATGTTGCTTTTCTGTCTTCCATAAGGCATTCGGACGAGGTAAGAGGAAGACTGAAACTGATCGGTGACCCAGAAGGTTTGGTAATGTTGAAAGACTGGACTGTTCTCACTCACCTCGCATCCAACTTTTGATTCCAACAAGTGAACATATCATCCCTATCAGGCCAACTCTCCCGTACAACATCAATCATCGGTCCTTTGGGAGCACACCAGTCGTTCAAGATAACTCTAGCAGGATGTTGATAATGTTGTTCTGCAGAAGTTCTTATACCCCCTTCACCAGAATCGATAGGTGCTCGCATGATGTTGATATCCCCAGCGATGATAACCTCCCTTCCTGCCGCTTGAAGAGCCCTCACCCGAGCTTGGAGGGCATGGAAGAAGTTCATCTTGTACGGTCTACGCGAATCGTTTGTCTCGTTGGGACAGTACAGGTTGAAGAGGACGAAGAGCCTGGTGTGTTAGCTCTGTAAGTGATCCTTCGTAGCTAATTTCTGATGTTGGTCATGAGATGGTCAGAATGAAGATGAGTATGACATTATACGAGAGAATCGGGTCGATGAGGTAAATCACTCACCCAAAATCACACACCACAGCCCTTCCTTCCATGTCTAATCGCTTAGGATCGAAAACGCTCCCATCGAGCTCGTTTTCAAACGACAACTCTTCCATATCGGGATAACACCCTATCCTCTCCTCCGCCGACCAAGGCGGTCGCATGGTACTGCTCGAATCACCAAGCAGCAGTCCGGTGATGCCTTCCTCAGCTTTGAGAGGGACGCAAATACGAGAATCGACGTAAGTGCATACACCTGAATAACCTGTTTTGGACCGAGGAAAGGTCCAAAAGGCGTCATATGGTCCAGGACAGGCCATAGTTTTGTCCAGTTGTGGACGACGAGTTTTGTGCTCTGCACATTAGGCGTCTGAGTCAAAGAATCTGTTGGAGGTAAGATGATCCAGAGGTATGAACTCACCTTGGAAGCATACGATTTGAGCGCCAAGCTCATCCAGTAATCCCTCGATGTTGCGTTTCTTCAACGATGAGAAACTTTGTCAGTTAGTCTTCCGATTTGAATCGACCGAGAAGCACAAGAACGTACGGATGATAGTCCAGGCAAGTTCTCAAAACGTTCTTCTAATTCAGCTATAAGATTCTATGGTGTGCACACTGCTCACCACATTCCAAGTCAGGATACGCATCTTGACATATCGGTTGAAAACTCCTCCGTGACGTCCGTCCGTCACGGTCTAACAACACCCTTGGTCCATTCGTTCAAAACCTCCAAGCTATACGATCCTCCGTCGTTTCCGCGCCCGAGAACGATGTGACCTTCTGAATAGTTCTCACGATGTGAAGCTAGTCTTACCAGACGGCCGTTGAGAAGCACACAAAGTACAAAGCAAGAAACATCTTATCGGCCGCGGTGTACAGTAGTTTTTGACCGTGTACTGTGTGGTGTGGATTTTCCCACGGTGCGTCACCGCCCCTTCCTTCTCTTCCCCTCTCCCCCTCGTCATTACACCTGTGCTACCTACCATACACTGCTTTCACACAACTTGCTGTCCTCTGCTTCTTGGTATCCCGGCTCTCATTAATCTCAGGGTATACAGGTATATATACATCTCTCCAACTCTGAAATCATTCCTCCCACACACTAACTTCACTTGGAACCATCAGCGTTTCACCAAGTTCGTTCAACCCTTCAATCTTGTCTCCTGAACGTAAAACCCTGCGTCACTACATCCACACCTTATCACATACAACCTTCAGTACAACCCATTGTCGATTGAGAAAGATGGGTGGTCCACCTCAAACGGTCCCATGTCAAGTGAGCTTAGCTTCCTACCTACCCACCTACTTAAAGATAGCACCGCTAATTCGTCTCAGTATAAGACCGGAAAGACTCTTGGAAGGTACGTCCCCCTAAACGTTGCTTCTCAGGCAAGCGAAGATCGCTAATGGTTCAGTGGAACATAGTACATCATCTCCCCTTTTCCTCTCCGGCTGCTGACACGCAGCGCCATTGTCAAGGAATGTGTACACATAACCGTGAATCTACTAGTACCTGGATGATTTCGTAGCTTATTTATAGACAGGGAAGTATTACGCCTGCAAAGTTTTAAACAAGAAGTTTCTTACCGTGAGGATACTCTCATATTCTGTAGCCCACAGCTGACATTCAGGGTCGTGAACATATGGTTAGCAGATTGAAGCCACATGGCGTTCTAGCTGACTTATTTCAGGTGCGGAATGAGATAGCTGTTTTAAAGCGAGTGTCCGCGGGACATAAGAACATCGTTCAGCTCCATGATTTCTTTGAAACCACTCATAACCTTTATGTGAGTCCTTAAAATTGATCTCACATCCCTCCCCTGCCTCTCAATCTTTGGGAATGGGTTCGAGCCTCCTAGCGCTATCGTTCCCAAGCTGACCCTCAGCTCGTCTTCGATTTATGTACAGGCGGCGAATTGTTCGACCGAATCTGTGCCCGAGGGAGTTATTTCGAGAAGTCAGTGCATTCTAAACTCTCACTCGCTTATAGCTCATTGTCAGGGACGCAGCCCAGATCGTTCGGACCGTCACGTCTGCGGTCAAGTATTTGCATGATCAAGGAATCGTCCATAGAGGTTTGTCCAGAACTACCCTCTGTTCACGCTGATCTAGCAGATTTGAAGCCTGAGAACATACTGTTCCGATCGAAGGCCGAGGATGCGGAACTTATGCTTGCTGATTTTGGGGTGAGAGTCATTTCTGCGAATGAAAGTCAAGCTGACGCATCAGCTGTCCAAAGTGCTCGATGATGAGAATTTCTCCATATTGACCACGACATGCGGAGTAAGTGACAGCTCACCATTCGCGGACCTCAGCTGAATGGCAGACACCAGGATACATGGCGGTAAGCGGGATGATCCCTTGGGTGGGTAAGTCTGATGGTTCAGCCGGAGATCTTTCGTAAATCCGGTCATGGAAAGCCTGTCGACATTTGGGCCATTGGTGTCATTGCGTCAGTTCTTGATGTTCTCCCGATACATTTGGTTACTGATGAGCCAGATACTTCCTGCTCTGCGGCTACACCCCTTTCGACAGAGAGTCCCAGTACGAAGAGATGCAGGCGATCTGTAACGGAGATTACAAATTCGAACCGGTGAGTGCATTGTCATCCTCCCCGTCACTGTCCCGTGGTACTTGACATAAACCCTTCATGACTCTTGGCACTCGTGCCCGCATTGATCAGACGATAAGTTCACACAAGGTCTTCGATGGATGAGGGTCATCAATCGGTCAGGGATTCGCGCCAGACTCACGCTTACAATCAGGTGGAATATTGGGCAGGTGTGTCAGAAACCGCTCGGTCGTTTGTCCGAGCGTGTCTGACAGTCGATCCCACCAACCGTCCCACCGCCGCTCAACTTCTGGCCCACAAATGGCTCCAGACCGAGGACACACATTACCTTCAAGATTCTGCCAGGGCAGACTCAGCAGCTGTGGACCTGCTGCCCAACGTCAAAGCCGGATTCGATGCTAAGAAGACTTGTGAGCTGTGTTACCTGTTACCGTGTCCCTGGTGCCCCGCTCCCTGGGAATATCACGACGGGATGATGGCCGTGTCCTGAGATGTGGACAAAAGGCCCTTAGGGGACGTGCTAATGGCAGTCCGACGCGCTGTTTTGGGTATGATGGCCGTGCACCGGTTTCAAGATCAACACGCTCAACATCAATCGCTCGGGGCGGCGCAGAGTGCGGCGGAGAAGGAGAAATTAGTGGAAGAAGTGGAAAGATACAAGAGAGAAGCAGAACGAGTGGGTCCTTCTTCAAATCTTGCTTTCTTATCTCCTCCAGCTTTACGTCTCAACTCTGGGCCGATCCCAATGGGACATCAAGGGTTTTCGCATGAAGATGGAGTTCCCTGACATGAACAGGAAGACGTCAAGGATGTATTGGCGGCATGAATTACTCGATCGATATTGTGGGAGCTACGAGCTGTCCATACGATGCAGCCATCGTTGTGGAGGAGTCATGTGACGAGGTGACTATGGATGTAGATGACAATGTTTGTGTCACACCAGCGCATGTATACAATTTCAACATGAACCAGTTGCTGCTAGCTGCCTGTTATATTTGACTCACCATTGAACCTCAGCTATGTAGAGGTGGGAGAGTGACATGACGCGTCTTTCGTAAATGCCATGCATGTTATCATCTATGACGGTTAATTCATACTGCGTGTTTCCGATTCTCCGATCTCCGTGAGGAGGGATACGACGCGCACCCACCTTCGCCTGGCAGCTGTCAGCCTGTCACCCGAGGTATGTAGTAAAGAAGAGACGGACAATCGGAACGCCTCTGTAAAAGCCACCGGACATTCTCCGATCTTTCTTATTTCCTTTCCCTCTCCTCTTACGCCTCAAAATGGTGACGTGACCTTCCCCCTCTCCCCTGCCCCCCATCACGGTGCCTTCTCTCCCTTACGCCATGCGCCTTGGAACAAAAAGGTCTGTCGAAAAACAGGAACAATGTTTTCCCTCCGACCCTATCGGAAAGTTGACAACCTCGGACATATGCAGACTTACCTTTCCCCTGGGTGTTTGTGCCGAATTTTCTAAAGGGCCCGAGGGTCCAGAGGCATTTTCTCTTCTCTTCTTTTCTTCTTTTCTCTTATTTCCCATTTCTTCGATTCACGTAGCTTATACCAATCTCAATAATTTTCATTTATCAACAAGGTCTCTCTCATCCTGAGGAAAACAGAGATACAGTATTGGATTAGTTGAGAGAGAAAGACGAAAGAAGGAAGTTAAGATACGAAGGAGAAGGAGAAGGGGGTGCGTGCGTTTTTACGGAGATTTTAAGTGGATTATACTTCCTTTCGCTACTTTTTCTTTTTAAACCTTTCGTCTTCTTAAAGTCCCTAAAACCCTATTGGAACAATCAGAAAATCAAAACCTCTTTTCGGTCCGGTCCGATAACCTGACGGTAGACGTTTGTCTTTCACATTCTTGAACAAATCGTACATACGACCAAGTTTCATTGTTGGATTCCATATCATACAATCTTGTTTTTCTTCTTGCCTTTCTTTTGATCACTGTCACAACTTGACATTCTACAAGCTGGTTTCATTCATCCGAGAAATTTAAACGACAAGAAAATACCGAGACAACGACATTACGACCAACTGGTTTATCAGACCAATCCACGGAACAAGAAGGAGAATACATTTTCGGAAAGAGGTACGAAGACGAAATTGTTATCGATACGATTGTATATACTTCAATATCTCTGAGAATACAGGAGTGATCAAGAGAGAAGACAAAACTTATATATATATGTCTAAGAATTCCACGAACCAATTTCCAGGGGTTTATTATCATATCTTTCTGAAGAAATAATAACAATCCAACAATCATGTCACCTATTACACCTTCGACAGCTAAAATGCAAAACAAATCATCTAATTCACCACCTATTTCTTCACCTACCACACCGACGGAAAATGCAGGACCGTCCGTGTCGAGACGCGCGGGAAAGGCGAATGTTTCTAGCGCTTGTGGACCGTGCAAAAGGGCGCATTTAGCATGTGATGTGGCTAGACCGTGTAAAAGATGTGTTAATATGGGTAAAGAGGATCAATGTGAGGATGTTCCTGTGAGTGTATTTGGTTAATTATCTGATTTTGGTTTTCCTCGATGAAAGAATGTTGAGTTTTGAATGGTTTGTCATGGGATTTGGGGAGAGGGAGGTTATCGTGTCAGATGGGATAAGTCTACGTGGACTGGGTTCCGATAAGTGTGTAGGTTGTGATGGGATTTGAGTAATGGTTTTATGAGTAGGATCGTTTCTTTCGAGGAGTTAGCGTTAGCGCTAGATACAAGTTGATATTGAGGAGTGATAGATTGATGATGATCTAAAGACATTGTCAGAGATCCGGCGTCAAAGAAAAACTTCGAATCACACCAAAAAGAGTACAAGCTAATTGATAGCACAAAAAAAGAGGTCGTCCAAAAGTCGTCAAACCATCAATGGGAGAACCTTATCAACGTCGTCCTCCACCTCCTAACGAACCTACAAATTCATTCCCCGATCCATCACAAGGAAAATGGCGTGGACCTTCTTCTTATGACGCTCCATATATGGCAACAGTAGAACCACCACCACCACTTATGCCATTACCACCACCACCACCTCCTCCTCCTCCTATTTCAATACCAATATCAATCCCGAATTCTTCTTTACCTAGACCTATATCACCTATCGATCAACAAATACAACAACCAAACCTTTTCACATTGTTCACAACTACAGAATTAAAAATATTACGTGCAAGTCAATCTTGTTATCCATTAACAGGATATCATCCACACGAATTTGTGAATTTAAATTTATTAGATTGGTTACATCCTTCCGATCGACATTTAATAGATTTAGAAAGACAAAGACTTATAAACGTTTCTTTCATAACAGGTTCATTACAGTCAGATAGAGAAACTCAAGCTGCTATTACACAAAGATCAGAAAGAGAATTATTATCACCTGCAGAAGGTATGAGAGATCCTTATCCAAACCAAAATGCTAGAGTGTTAAGATCTGATAATTTATTTAATTATTTTAATATTAGATTACATTTAGGTGGTGGTTTAGGTGCTTCTTTATGGAGATCTGAAACTTTAAGTAGAGTTTATATCGTTGTTTCTTTACTTCTTATACCAACTCAACAAAATTTACAACAACAACAACAAAGAGATTTACATATTCCTATTTCTTCTTCACAATCTCAATCTCAATCACAAGATTATTCAAGACGTATTTCAACGAATCAATCTATACAATCGAATCAATTCACGAATTCTCAATCACAATCTCAATCTCAATCTCAAATACCACCAACACCTATAACACCTATTCCTCATTCGAATTCAAATTCGAATCCGACACAAGGAAATATGTTACATTCTTCGACTATTGGTTTACCTGGTTTTTCAAGTATAGCAGCTGCTGCGGATTCTCCTTTACCATCTTCACATACACATTCACATTCAAATCCTCATATGTTACCACCTCAACAAAGATATGATCCTTCAAGTTATTATTCCCAACCTTTACCTCCGACTCGAGGACATCCATCCGGTACCATCAACCCTCATACAGGAGGTATCAACTCTCATCAAGGTGGTATCAACAATAATAACCCGACAATAAACTCTAACTCTCATCCTACCGTTAATTCCCACCCGGGTCAAAATATCAATCATCATCCTCATCCAGGTCCTAATATCCCCCATCCAAATCCACATCCAAATCCCATCCCTCACTCTTCTACCCTCCCTCCGACATCCAACGGACCACCGCCGTCTATGGGAATGACGACGATTAATTCAAATCCTTACGCTTACACTCAACCTAGACAACCTTACCCTTCCACACAAAGAAGAAGCATCTCACCAGGTCCTCCACATAGATCATATCAGGATTATCCCGTACCGCCAGGAGGTTATTACGAGGTTAAAGAGGAAGAATGGAGGAGACAACAAAGTGCAGGTCCGACGGGAGATTATAAAAGGTCTTGGGAGTTATGATAAGAATCTTGTCATGTCATAAGAACTTTGTGTTATTTAGCATTCGATGCGATGGAAGATGGCAGATGGAAGATGAAAGATGCAAGATAAAAGATGGAAGATGGGAAGTGGGAAATGGGAAATGGGAAATGGGAGGTGCAAGATAGGGGATGGGAAGGACGAGGTGGAAGACGTCCTCGTAGTCTTCTATCGTTGGAAAGTAGGATGAAGTCAGGATGGGGTCATTGTATCTTTGGAACTGGGTCTGTTGGTGCAATAATGGAGATATCTTGAATTTTGCTCGGTAATCGTGGACTCGTAAAGGTATTAAAAGCAGGCAACAAAAGTGGGAAAAGAAAAGAAGAAAAAAAGAAAGAAATCCAAATATATATGTTTGTAATCTTTTAGAATTGTACCAAGAAAACTTATAGCCATGTTATATCTTGTTTTGTTCCTCTAATCCCTCATCCATTTCATCTATCGTCCAATTACCCGTGGTACATCTTTCAATTCGAAAATCATCATTACAGTACTCTATTGTCAGAATCGTCAGGTGCCACAATCATTTCCGCCACGCCACTCGACAAAGCGTCGTATGTCCTTCTTTGTGAACGTGCAGAGTCACTTTCCCTGATCAGTAGTAAACCCTGTCCGTCCCCAACATGTCAACACAAGAGAAGTACTCGTATTCATCTTGCAGTCTCGAAGAAAGCTCAGTATAACGCGTTACAACGAACGATAACGAATGAAAGAGATGGACAGAGTCAAAGAGAGAAATAAAAAAGATGAGATAGAGAAGGAGACGAAATGAAATTTCAACTTTATGCATACATACTTCTATTCCTCCGTAAATGGTTTCTTCCCAATTTCCAACATTGCCAAAGCTGCTTCTCTGATTTTATCAAGATAAACGACCAATCTCTCTCCTCCGGGAGAAAAGAATTCTTCGTATATCCCATTCTCCTCATCTGCCACGATCTTGCTCAACGCCAAAGCTTGTTGTAACATCTGAGGGAAGAGGGTGCGATGGGTGTAAAGTAAAGTGTGAAGTTGTAGGATGAGTGAAGGGATGAAGATTTGTCGAATACGAGATAATTCTTTGAATCTCGGACCTGAGATTAGCCTTTTGATATATCGTCTTTGTGCAGGTTGAGAGGGAGAGAGAGGAAGGATGATGACTCACTTGAACGTTCTATTGGAAGTTTCAACCAATCACTCAACAATAAATCTATGGTCGTCCCGTGAACTTTATCGATGGCGCTCTGTCGGTCAGACCTTTGGTTCGGAAGACGAAGAAGAGTGAAGCAAGCTGGAGAATTGGTGACTCACACCTAGACTTTTACGCCAGCTATGTTGTTCAATCTTGGTTGCTCTGCTTATCAGCACTTTACCTATTGAAGCCAGAGCGCAGTTTAACGTCGCGGGAATGGAAAGTGACGGACTTCTCGAGCGATTTCACAGATTGTTTCACAGGGCCCCTCAAATCGTCCACCATTGCGACAGGCTGAGAAGGGGGAGGACGGGATGAGGGGGGAAAGAAAGAGATGCGAGTTGATGAGGAGGGAAGGAGGAAGACTCATGAGCAGGTGTCAAGAAGAGGCAACAAATGCTCACGTATTCTTCGGCGCTCGACTCAAAACCTCACCGACCAACTCATGACATGCAAATACCACAAACAACTGTCTGAATTGTTCATGCTCGATCTGATGGTAGTTTTCATCGTCGTCGGCACCACTCATCTGCTCGTCCGTCAGATCTGAAGGGAGGGTCTTTAGCAGAGCTTGAGCAGCGTTCGCCTGTCCCAATGCTGTTTGTAAGCCTCTACACATTTCATCCTCTGAACAACATCCAAGCGACACCATTTTATGCAGAATATACAGCTATCTCTCGAGACTTTTACACTATACCTATGATCATTGAGGATTTTCAGACAGGTAATGGCGAGACAGAGTCAGAAAGAAGAAGTAGAAATTCGAACTCACCTAAGAAATACCTCGCCAAATCATTTGACTTTACCAAAGCATCCGTAAACGTCTCCGGGACCATAGTCAACCACTCTATACTTCGTATCAAATACACATCCCTCTCGCTCAATCCACTAACTATGGACGTGATGTCCGGTAATTCCACCGTCAAAGGTGGTATAGTCTGTTCGTTACTCTCGTATCCAGAGACGAAGATAAACGTACCGCGAAAGCTTCCTCGATTATCATTCGCACCGTCTCCCTCGCTATGATCGCAACATCTAAGTCATGTTGCTTAGCTCTAGACAAAGCTCGCATTCTCTCTTCTTTGGTCGTATTCGGATCCATGGCTGATAGTCAATATGGAAATCAACCACGGTGGCTAATGGAATTCATCCACTCACATCGGAGGAAACGAGCATAACTCTCTTCTCCACTACCTTCCCGAAGACAAGCGGCGTACATGGCAACTAATTGAGAGTTCCCATCTCGTTCTAGTATCTGAAGATACGCTTCCAGAATGATGTTTGCCGCTACATCGGGGACTTTTTGTCCGAGCGTACGAAGAAGTAAGACCAAATGGGCGAAAAAACGAATATACGGTCCGACCAATCTTATGATGTCAGAAAGGCAATGGAGGTGAAAGAAGTTACGTACTCCGGCGACACACCTTCTGCCAGTTGAGGTATTAAATCAGCTATGCGATTCAGAAGTTGATCAGTCTGATCAAGTATGATCATCTTCTGAGCGAGGTAGTAAGGATTGTTTACGGCCATACTGCAAGTCATCAACAAAAGCTCGTTCAAAGAATTAGGTGGTGTTTTCGAGAAGGAAAAAGACTCACGCAACACTTTCTGACTGCACAGAAGAGATGCTAGCGAACACCTCATCCAACCCGCCTCTAGCTACTTGAGAAGAATCCTCCTCATCACTACCTAATAATCTGGCCTCTTCTTCCCAAAACCCTCCCAAATCTCTGCAGCGAGCTTCCAGACGGTTTTCAATCCGATGTTGAACATGTGCCCATAGATGATCTTCCCAAGTTTCACAGGCCGGTATTAATGTGGACAAATCTGAGATGAGTGCCGCGTATAGACATCTCTCCGCGGCCGATAGAGTAGGCTGACGAGTCAGTCAGGTTTTGACGTTGTGTGTGGGGTAAACTAACATTTTTGGCGATAGCTCGACAACTTTTCTTCCACAATGCCCTTGTTCGGTTGCCTTCCAATGGTCCAGCACCCATACTATGGCTAGCTACTTCATAAGCCAGCTGGAAGTGAGGGTTGATTTGACTCACTCATTCCACTCATATTCCATCGCCTACCACCCATCAAGGTCGCACCTCGCCAAGGCTCTCCCGCTTGCTCGCAGACCTTCACAGCCTGATCGAGCTCACCATGCCGCACCAAGTCCCACAAAGTCGCGAGCAGGGGGGTTTGGTAAGTTTGATCTTCTCCAGCGAGACCTTGCCCATGTGGGTCACGAAGTATGAAATCGGGATCCAACGAGGTTTGATGTCCTCCTCTCAGAGCGTTCTTGCTAGCTTGGGCACGTCGTATGGTAGATGGTAAATATCCGTGGCGAGCTTCCAGAGGTGGTGGTTCAGTGAGGAGAGGACGTGTTTGTAGATGTTCTATCAAAACCTTATTGATCAGTTTGATCAGATGGTTGTTCTCGAGGGCACTCACAGCCCATAAGCTCAATTCTGGGTCTTCTTCCACTACGGTCTGGGCTAATTCTTCGGGGGAGATGTACGGGCACTTTTGGAGCAGTGTCTCGGCTGATATGGGGGAAAAGTCGGGGTCGTCACGGTTCAGCCGATTCCTACGATTCTTCAGCTCTTCATCCCATTCCCATGAGATCCAGAAGACTCACTCGTAGACAGTACGAAGTAACTGCCATGTCCGGTGCTCGAGTAACAGAGCTTCTCTCTCTTCCACGGAGAGTTGATCATCACTCGGCGCGTCGTATAACTCGGCGGTAGACTTGGACCGAACTCTGGAAAGTGAATACGGCAGCATCGAATTTCTAGGCATGAAGGTGACAATTCACAAAAAGACGCTTACTGTTCTTCTACCGCAGCCATCAATTGAACCACCAGGCCATTCTCTTCATCCAATATGACATGACGTTGAAGAGGAGCGTCGAGATGAGAGCTGGAGGGACCAGCCTGGGAGTGATGATCCTGATACGACTGAAAAGCAGAGGCGAATGTCTGATAGGAAGATGAGGGTGCAGACATGTCTAGTGATGACTGACCGTTCGCGAGGACATAGAGTAAGAGTAAGATCGACTATAGTCAACTTGTAGGTAGTTCAGGTGTCAACGAACACTTTGTAAAAGAAGCGTGACGTGGCATTCGGGTTTCACTGACGTGATGGGACCATCATGATGTCTTTGTCAAGTAAAGTAAGCCTCACCATACATGACACTCACCTTCTCACTTTGTACTCACACTTCATCCTCTCGGATCACCTCGAGAACCTTTAGACGACCTCAATCTCTCTGACCAGCTTGCGAGCGACGATTCCGCAGTGTCCTGTTCTTCCTCCTTCCGATCCCGCTCAGTCATCCCGGTCCTCAACCCCCACCCTTCCCTTCCTCCGCCCTAAACCTGCCCCGCCACCGCCACCGCTCGCTTCCACCATCATCTTTCACCCCCACTTCTGGCGTACGAGGCTCTTTCAGATTCCAGCTCCATTGCTTCTGATTGTCCCGGAGACTACATCCGACTTGCTCAATATCGCTTTGACATCATCGATTCCGTTTTTGCCGCTCGTGCGACCCAGTCAAGATGTCTTCTGACGGTGAAGACTACTATTACGAGGACGACTACGATGAAGGGAGTATGGATCAAGACAGTCCGGTATCAGAAGGTTTGTATTTCTCTACGTTTGACTTCCTTTGTGATTGCTGATGAATCAGGGATGTCAGAGCCGGACATAGTGTACGATGTCATGAGTCCTACAGCCGATGGTGAGTAATCATGGTCCGAGTGGTTTGATCACTTACCTCGTCCAGAACCAGCTCCAAAGAAACCTTACGACGTCTCTTACAAAGTACGCACTCTTCAAGAGATCATAAACATGCAGAGCAAGGAAGTCCGGAAGATACAGACGTTGTTAGAGATGCCCGTGAGTGATACTCTCACATCATCTCACTAACCTCACAGTCCAGATGGCCGATTGGCTAACTGTCAGGCATCCACAGCTACTATACTTCTTCGACACTACCAATGGAACTCGGAAAAGCTACAAGAGCAGTTCTGGAATGACCCGGCTGCGGCTCTCCTTTCTGCCGGTTTGTCACCTCCAGTCTCACCCAGTACCAGAACAGGTCCTCTTCCTCCGTCACCCTCCCTTCTTATATCCCCTCGTCGACCTACGCGGTCTTCACACAACCCTGCTCTTTCCCCCGTCAAGCGATCTCGAGCTCCACAGCCTTCTGGACCGTTCGAATGCCCCGTCTGTTGCATGGAGTTTGCCAAAGAAGACGTGGTCAAAGAAACTTTTGCTTTGGGGTGTAGGCACCGATTTTGCCGAGGATGCTGGGCAGAGTATCTGACTGGTAAGATCCGGTCAGAGGGGGAGAGTTCTAGGATACAGTGTATGGAAAGTGGTTGCGAGAGGATCGTGAGGGAAGAGATCATCGATGAGTTGGTTCCAGCTGGTGTCTCCAAGCGGTCAGTAAATCTTTACGATATCATCACTTGCACAACATTGATTGTATGACTACACCATTTTCAACCTTCAGTATTGTGACCTAGGGGAGTCTAGCTACTGCGGTATCAATTTGGCCGTTTAGCTGACGAAGACAGGTATCACAATCTTCTCAACATGGCCTTTGTGGCTGACGCTCCAAACCTCCGTTGGTGCCCTCATCCAGACTGTGAATATATCATCGAGTGTACCCAAGCCCCTCCGCGGATGCTCAACCAATTAGTGCCCACTGTCGAATGTAATTGCGGTCGTCAATTATGTTTTGGTTGCGGATACCTCAGCAGTCATCGACCAGTGTTGTGTAAAATTGTCAGACTATGGGAGAGGAAATGCGCCGATGATTCGGAGACTGCCAATTGGTTACAAGCAAACACGAAAGAGTGTTCAAAGTGTCAAAGTACCATTGAAAAGAATGGAGGGTGCAAGTGAGTCCTCTTCAAACTTTCATCTTGCCTTCTTTCAGTCAATTCTAGCCTACTCCCTCACAAGTTCATACTCTCTTCAAGTGCCATTTTGAGTGCAGACGCTTATGAATTAGCCATATGACGTGCAAGAAATGCAAATACGAATTCTGCTGGGTCTGTATGGGTCCATGGAGCGAACACGGCACGAGTTGGTATCAATGCAATCGATTTGATGAGAAGAGTGGCGTCAACGCTCGGGATGCTCAGGCTAAATCACGAGCTTCTTTGGAACGTTATCTACATGTGAGTCTCCAATTCCTGGCAACTCTCCCGCTTTGGAGTGAGACAAAAACTCATGAACAGTATTTCAATCGATGGGCAAATCACGAACACTCTGCCAAACTTGATGCAGAGTTTTACAAGAATACAGAGAAGAAAATGGAACAAATGCAGAACTCTGGAAATTTGAGTTGGATAGAAGTGCAGTTTGCAAAACAGGCTGTAGAGACGGTGATCAAAGCTCGTATCACACTCAAATGGTCATACTGTATGGCATTTTAGTGAGTCTTGTCTCTCAATGCTTTTGGCTTTGTCCCACAGCCATCCTTTTCCGCTTTCTGATTGAGAGAACATCATCAGATCTGGGCAAGTCAGATTTTTTTCGGACGGTTGAGAAGTACGTTTTGGACAAGTACTGATGAACCAGCTTGAAACGCAATAACATGACCGAACTCTTCGAGGACAATCAACGCGATCTTGAACGAGCAGTAGAGAATCTGGGGTTCGCCCTGGAACAGAACATTGAGCCGGATTCCATCGCTCAGCTCAGACAAGACATAACGAATCAAACCGTGAGTTCTTTGCTTTCCCGTGAACCGATGTCCGATTATCTCCTCCGCTCAGTACGGTTTCCTCCTGCCCCCCTTAGCCTAGCAGTAACGGAAATCATGTCAAGACTGAACTGAAACTCAGGCATACGTTCAAAAGCGACATGAGATACTTATGGACGACACACTCAAGGGATATCTAGAGGTGTGTCCTTTCCCTTTGGCCTCATTGACTGACCCGCACCGATTCTCTCATTGTTGTTTCTGTTAAGCTGGTTCACCGTCTCCTTATCACCTGTCTCTTTGTCGAACTCCTCCAGCCTCCACTCCTCACTTCTATACTTTCTCCAGCGACACCTAGCCTTCCAGAAGGAATTCTTTGATCGTTCGTTACAGTATCTCTTGTACTCCACCGGGTGATCGGGACACAACTAACTTCCAGCGTCGATGGGACTTCTCCGTAGACATCTGATTCCCAAATCATCCTGTAGCACTAGGGTAAGCGAACGAAGGAGTGATCTAGCATGTGACGTGTTGACGAATGAAGTCCCGGAAGAATGCATCTAATTCGTTCTTCTCACCGAATGACATGAGTGGGTGGTGGTACAACATATTAGGTCAAGTCACAACATGGCCAAAGGGTCTGTACATTAGCTCCTGCTTGTTGCATTCTTCTCCTGCATGTTTCCTAAACCTGGCAAAGTCATATGGAGCGCATTGTGGGGTTCAGAATATTCAGCGACGCCAAGGGGGAATTGAACAAAATTAACAACATGAATGGGGAAATGAGTAAACAAAATATGACTCACCTTCTTCAGAATCAATACTGACAGCTCTACGCATGACCACCAAAGAAACTTCATCAGTAGGTTCCACTTTGACAGTCACGGGTGTTTGTCCACTCGTCTTCCTTTCCTTGACGGGTTTAGGTCGAGATCGATCTTTAGGAGTTTGAAAATTGTTCACAGGACGTTCACGTTCACGTTCTTTACCTTTCTCTCTCTCTTTGTCCTTTTCCTTTTCCTTGTCTTTTCTTCTGTCAAAACCATCCCTATTTTCTCTTCCTTCGTTGTTCTTTTGCAGATCTTTTCCATCCTTATCATATCTCGATTCTTTATTATGTAACTCTTCTCGTACATCTTTCACTTCCCTTGAACTTTTCGCTTGTCTTACATCTCTCGCTTCTTTCCAATCTTGGTGATCTCTAACCTCGGATTCTTTGTTATGTCTCCTGATCCCGACATTTCGCGATTCTCTATTGTCGCGATCATCTTCATATTCTCGACCATGAGAATTATGCGTTGTATTTCCCTGTCGAGCGGTGGGTTTTTTAGAGGAGGAGGAAAGCGGACGATTTGGTTTTGGAGGCGGAGTCGAAGATGACTGAATATCGGATTAGCTCGTTTATCATAGTCTATCGCGATTGAGTGTCCGATAACTCCATTAGCCAGTCCAGTGTTCTACAGCTCAAAGTTCTCGACGTCCGTGAGTGGTTAATCACTTACAGGAAGAAGCTTGTTTAGTGTTGGGGTCTCAGTGGATTGATTCACAATTACTTCAGAAATTATGAAGGTTTAGGGAAGAAAAGGGCGGAGTTTAGATGACGAGCAATGCTGGAAAGACTTTGAACTCACCTGTTGATCTGATGTACGCATAGGAAGATCTTCAGAACTGGGAGTATCATCAATACGTCTTTTCTTCCTTCCCCCGGATAGCTGTCTAGAAGGAGAGCCAGATCGCATAGGGTTAGAAGTGACTCGTTGTTGATGGGCCGTCTGATTATCAGCGAAACCATTCCTCATGAATCCCCCCCTCCTAATCATCCCCAACTCCCAAACCCCGATCTTTAAACAAAGATTCGCCATGCAAGATAGAGATCCAAATGTCCGGGTAACTAAACAAGAGTGAAGCAAGCTTCAACGATGATGAAGATTAGACAGTATGATACTGTACGATGATGAAGACCGATGAGATGTTGACACTCACATTCGGTCCTGGTCCACTCGAGACTTTAGCATCCATGATATCTCTGAACCCTTCGCATAATTTCTCCCACCTCTCCAATTTCTCCCTCCACATTTGTCTTTCTCGATCTACCACAGCTCTCGCTTCTCTCACCCTTTCCACTTCTTCACTGACACTCTTCAACTTATTCTCTAACTCCTCTACGCGTTGTTCAGCATCAGCTAAAGCATCCTCCGTCCGAGCCAGCTGTGATTCCGCAGCGCGAAGAACGGCATTCTCCCTTCGCAGCTCTTCGATTGTGATTTTGTTTTCTTGGAGAGAATGCAAGACGCCTTTGTTGAGAAGAGTAGCTAATTCAAGTTCATTCCGAGCTGTCGTGAGCTCTTCTTGAAGACTCAGAGGTTGTCCTTTTGGTCGTGGCATGGGTGATGTGGTCCAATGGTGTAGGACAGTGAATATATATATGTGGTATCGGTATTGTAATTGGGTGGTACTTCGAGGGTGAGAAGAAAGAAGGCTTGTAAGGGAAAACGGGAAACGCGATGTGATCCGTCGGAAATGCTTATCAATTTCGGTGATCAGAAAAGACACGTCATTCAACTTACTCCCTGGCAATGACGTTGCTCAGGGACATCAAGAACCTTCTCACCCAATCTTCACCTTCTCACTCTCCTCTCAACAAAGTCAATCACTGTGGGTGTACAGATATAGTAGCAAGAAGAGACAATATGTCACAAGCAGGCAAATACCTCAAATCAGCAATGTCAGTGGTGACCCATTTGGAAGAGGGTAAACCACATTCCAGCATCACAGATTGGGTCGAAGTCTTATCTTCCGATAGGTACGATGAGCTCAGTTTGGATGGGATACCAGAATTGGTAGAGAGTATCAATCTACAAGCTTATCAGGGTACAACTGTGAGTTGCCCTTTCTCTCTCATCACAATATTTGCCAATATCGACTAAGTTTTGCCACTGTCGTACATTATTGCGAGGTGTCATCACTTCACTGGTGTTGGTAAATGAGTGACTTGTTGCTGATAGTGCCAGGAAGCCGCCCGGGCCATTCGGAAGAAGCTTAAGTATGGGAATGTCCATAGACAATTGAGAGCTTTGGTTATACTCCGTGCTTTGACCGAAAACGCTGGAAAGGGATTCCAGTTGGGATGGGCGAATTCCCAATTGATGGATCGACTCAAAGATATGGCACAAGATGTGAGTGAAAGTTCGTCAGACCTCTATATCCTCAAGACCCATAAACTCACAAGGAAATGCTCTCTTACTTTTCCAGAATTTACTCGATCCCAAAGTCAAGAAACGCCTCATCATGGTCTTCCACGCTTGGAGCTTGCAATACAAAGATGAGCCTCGGATGCAAAACGTGGCCAACCTTTATCGTCTCTACGGAGGTGGAGGTCCTACTGTTCGCCACGTGAGTGTCTCTTAAGCTCCCCTATTCACCTCACTGAACGATGTGAGTTGACATATCCAGGCGAGTTCCGTCTCCCACACAGCTCCCTCGACGACTCACACAAAGACATCGTCCACCAGCAACCGAGGGGCATTTGCAGATACCGAAGACATTTTCTCTCACGATTGGGCACCTTCAACACGTGGTCCAGATACATACGCTGATTTGGCTGCTGCAAAGGCTGACGCGGAAGCTCGCAAGTCGGAAAGAGAACGTAGGATCCTGATGGAACAACGCGAGGCCGAAATCGAACGAAGGGAGAGAGAACTGAAGAGGAAACAAGAAATGGCAGCTTTGGAATCGAGACGACAGCAAGAAGCATTGGAAGAACAAGAAAGAAGACGTAATCTCAAAGAAGCTCAGAAGAAAGGTGCTTCACAGCCTAAAAGACCAAAGTTCGATTTCGTAAAGGAGAAACCTCAGATTTTGGTTAGCGTGGCAAATGCCATTCAAGCGGCTAACAATCTGGTCAATTCGTGTCGAGTGAGTGTCCATCTAAACTACATTGGCCCATCTGACAATCCTTCTCACACCATAACCATGCATGAGAACGTGCTTCACGCACTCAGGACGGGATTGAAGTTTTGAGTTTGTGACTGACCAGCAGCTAATCAACCGTGAACATGAGACCGTCTTGGAATCACCTAAAGTTCAAGAAAATCTGGACAAAGCCAAAGCTGCTAGACGCGTGATCATACGATACATCCAACTCGTCAACGATGAAGAATTTGTCGGTACTCTTCTCGAAGCCAACGAAAAAGTCGTAGAGGCTATACAACTTTACGACAAGTTGTCCAAACCCGCCGTCTTAGATTCCGACTCTGATTCTGCACCTGAGACTCCTGCAGGGGACAAAGATCTCAAATCTATTAGTAAGAAACTTGAAGCTCAACGTCTTGAAGCGGATCGTACGGGTGAATTACAGAGAATGCAAGAAAGACAGAAATGGGAGAGCGCGAAACGTCAACAACGTCGTGCGCAGCGTCAGCCTACAAGTGTACAAAGTAGGGATTCGGACATTGAAGATTTGCAAGATTTGGATTTCGGTGGTGGACAAGTTGGGGGACAACAAGGGAGAAGAGGTTTACAACCTCCTTTACGACCTGACTCAGATGAAGGGTCTCTTGCTACGGGGTGAGCGACTTGTTTTCTACTCTTCCTGCTCCTCCTCTCGTGCAACCTGTATCTCTTTGACCTTCTCTCTTGACGCTAAATTGGGTTATTTTGTCATGCCCGGCATTCTCGCCATTCATCCCATCCTATCATCTCGTGTGGGCAGTTGTGGTCACCAGCTCATATCAGATCACTATCCGATTTCTCAGACTACGATTCCTCCGACGAAGAATGGCGTCGCGCTCATGGTCAACCCTCCACTTCTCGGTCCGTAGCTAAAGCAGGTCCTTCCACTGTGTCCGCACCTTCGACAAAGAAACAAACCCCTTACGCGCAATTGGACGATGAACCAGTGAGTAAAAAAGGTTTGCTCGATGCCGATGATCCTTTTGGTGATCCATTTGCGGATGATGATGATACGCCTGCTGTAGAGAGACCTAGGATGCAGTGTGAGTGTGATGTTTCTGTCTTCCTCAAATTACGGTATTAACTCCCACTTCCTCTCTCGAAATGAAGTGTCGCTTCCTATGGCGGCTATTCTTTGTCCCGCCATCATTCACAGTTTCCCAAGCGGACGAGTATCTCGGTACTAATGAATCTTTTCTCTGACTTATACTGCATGGGTTTACAGTTTGGAACCCTTTTCCAGGGAACTGGGCATCTCAAAGCGCTCAGGTCATTCGCTGATAGAACAGGGGCCGAGGTGTAAGATGCGCGTTAGAAGATCAAATGATTTTGTGGAAGCCCAGACTGAAGTATTGATTTAGCTCTTTATATTTGTGAAACCTGTGTTTGGGTCAGTTGGTGAGGAATGTGTGCCAGTCAAGTCCGACGTGATATCTGAAGGTACGGTATTGCAAGTTGAGGATGTAATGGCAAAGATTATGCGATGCAATTTGTTCTATTCTTCAAATTTACCTATCCAATATCAAACCAAGAACCCCAACCACCTAATCTACCCTATGTTTTCTTTCCTTCAGGATCATCTCTTCTCTACTACCTCTGCAACTTTCTTCAAACCCGTACTAGCCACATCCCTCATCATACCACTTACCAACCCCAAATTATCTTTTACTTTCCACCAACTTTCCAAACCATCCGCCAACATCTCCATCCTTCCTTTTCCTGTCCCTCTCATCCCTCTTCCCATTCCCTTAGTGAAACTTCCACTCGTCTGTGTATAAATAGGATATGCTCCTGCACCAGACATGAACAACTTTTTTATAGGTCCAATCTCATTTAACAATTCTAAACCTATACCTCTAATCCCATCGATAACTTTACCTCTACTTTTAAAAACCCAATTGAGTTTATCAGTAGCACTTAATAATAAATGATTTTCTCCATATCTTTCTTTTGGATAATCTTTCAAATTTGTCCAACTTCCTATATCTCCACCTAAACTTCTAGCGATTTCCAAAGTGTTTGATAAACTTCTTACATCTGATAAACCCATATTGAGACCTTGACCAGCTAGAGGATGGATGGTATGGGCTGCATCACCTACTAAAACTGTCCTTTGACCTAGATACGAATCGGCGTGTGACATTTTTATAGGGAATGAACCGATTGATTCTTGGGAAATGGATTCGATACGAGGTGGTAAGGTTTGGTCTGTTTGGGTATCGAGTGGAACGGAGTTTAGGATTTCATTGATTTGTTCAGTCAGATTTGCAGTAGAAGGAGGAGAAGAAGAAAGAAGTTGATATATTCTGTTCAAGGTTGTTTCCGGCAAGGAAAAGGCAAAATTAATCATCGTTGTGAATGTTTCTGAAGAAAGAGATTTGAGGGAAGAAGTTATCGAAGGAGGATTATACCAAACTAAAGTACTTGATGTTGCCGAAAGTGGGAGAAAGGCAATAGGACCGGAAGGCAGGAATCTTTGGAATGCGGTGGTGTTCAAATATGGAGAAGAAGGATGATGAAGTGTACAAACTATAGCGTGGGTTGAATAGGGATGACCGTAAGTTTCGATATTTGAGAATTTCCGAACGGGTGAATTAGGTCCATCTGCGCCGATCACTAATCCCGCTCTGATCGTTCTTTCGTTGTTAGGGTTGATTTCTGATGATGTGTTGTGGGCAACGGCGGATGACGATGGGACAGTTGTGGATTTTGAAGGAGTTAGTTGGAGGAAGACGGATTGACCAGAAGATGAAAGTGACATAGAGGTCACTTTGGATGATTCTTGGATTTTCAAGGTTGAGGAATCAGGATCGAGTGAGAGGATACGATGGAGAAGAGCAGTTTGAAGATTTTGATTTTCTGTCATATATGCCATTGGATGTCCTAGAGGGGGAAAGTGAAGTGTTGGAGTTGAAGAAGGAGATGGATTGGCCCATACCTGTTCACATCAGCTATCATTCCAGAATACACCCTGCGTAGCTCATTCTCGTAAACTTACATATTCGTCTAAGAACGCATTTCTCATGTCAGACGAAGGCGTTGTCGGGGAAGATTACGCAGAGAAAGTGAGAGGTGGGACGAAGAAGGAAGGCTCACAATCATTTCTTCAACTGGACAAATTCTAGAATGTTTGATATGTTGCCATGCTCCTATGCCTATTCATCAATGTCTAATCTTTCACCCAGCCTCCCCTTCAACCATGTGAGATGAATGTAGCAGGTGAAGAACTAACTCTCTAACCAAGACTTGTTTTCCGCTGTGATAGACGACACCCTGTTTTCCCATGGCCCTTCTCCGTTCCATATTCTGGTTTTATTCATACTTCCACCTTCTAACAAAAGTATTTTCGAAGTGGCTCGAATGGAAGGTTTAGTTACTATACTTCAGCAATGTCACATTCCTTCAGAAGGAAGACTGACGTAGAGCACAAGCTAAAGCGAGACCGGCGTTGGAACCTCCAATGATGACTATATCATAGGTGTCGTCTGGGGATACTTCTGGCATGGGTTTCTGTGATCGGTCGGTCGCTTGACTTGAGGGGTGAGGGGATTCGGTGGCATATGAACGAAATGGAACTTGACGATTGGGTGTGACATGGTGAAGGGGGGTCACTCTCACAGATCGGATTGATACCTGTGAGTGACTGGCGGTTGAGAACCTTGTGGGCCTTCTCAGGAGACGGCAAGCGAGACGTGTCATGGTAGCTGCTCGATGCAGAAAGTTACTCGTATCACCTGCATCCTGGAGATGGAGGGGTGGAGAGATCGGGAGGAAGTAAATATTCTTTTACATAGTTTATTTCTATTTATCCCACTGTGAGACGCGCCTGATTTTCCCCTGGTTGCTGACCCGGTTCCGTCAACCCGGGCAAGGAGCAAGGAGGCTGGTTCCGTCATTCAACTCTCAACATCACATCCTTACTTGTTTCTTCTATCACTAATCAACACCACTACCTCACACTCCTATCATACTCTGACCTTGCCTCTCTGACACTCCATCCCCACACAGATGCACCGACCATCTCATACTGTCGAGTCATAGCATTCATCATTAGTGTTGACAACTACCTCCCAGACGGCTCAACATGGCCTTACCTCGTAGGTCCGCCGCGTCTTCTGCTTCGTCAGGACCCTCAGCACCCACATCTGGGTATGCAGATGTGGTCGAGTTGGATAGATATAAATTGGTTTGTAATATCGGTAAAGGCTCTTTTGGGGTCATCAGTAAGGTTCAAAGAGTCGAAGATGGGAAAGAGTTCGCTATGAAACAGCTTGATTATAGCAAAATGACCGATAAGGATAGGAAACAGATCTTGGCTGAAGTGTGAGTCGCCTCAACCCAACTATCTATCTTGAACCTTCGCCTATCACACTTTCATCTTTCAACTAGTCAGGCTTTGTCAAGGAGGTCTGCTTCATGTATATGCCTGTCTTGGCCTCATACATGATCAGTCGAAAGGATGATAACTGAACTCCAAAGGGCCATCCTGGAAAGTCTCAAACATCGCAACATTGTTCAACTCATACAAAAAATAAAAGATCCAAAGAACGAACGTATCTACATTGTCATGGAGGTAAGCTATCCTTGGCATAATCATAAACATGTGAGCTGACGAGGGAGTATTGCACGAGCGGTGACTTGGGTTCACTCATACGTAAAGCTCAACGTACCGGTCAACCAATACACGAAGATAAGATATGGAACATCTTCCTACAGATCACTCTTGCTCTACATCATTGTCATTGGCCTGCTGAACGTCCTGCACAGGGACAAAGAGCTGGAAGACCCAGTGGGGGAAGTGATAAGAGTGATGTACCTAGATATCAGGTATTACATAGGGACTTAAAACCGGAGAATGGTGATTTTGATGTTTCTCCCAGCACGACTTACTTCTTCCTCATATCAAAAGCGACGAATTCAATGCTGATGACAGTTTTCCTCTCCGATGATTTTGTCAAATTAGGTGATTTTGGCCTCAGCAAGGATATGGGCAATTCTGCATTCACCAGCACATATGTCGGAGTGAGTCTAATTTGTTGCAGTCGCAAGGTCAGCTAAAAATCAGACCCCATTGTACATGCCTCCGGAAATACTGGCAGAAAACCGCTATGACACCAAATCGGACATATGGTCTCTGGGGTGTCTGGTCTACGAAATGTGTGCTTTGACGTGAGCACGAAATGTTTCCTCGATCCTAGGAAGAGAGTGACTGATGGAACAGTTCTCCATTTTCTACCGCCCAGACACAAGCCGAGTTGATCCAAATGGTCAAATCGGGAAAACTGCCTGCTCTGCCTGGTCACATTTCACCCGCTTTGACAAGGGTCATCAAGGCCATGTTGACGTTGAATGTGAGGTAACAAGCCCGGGTTGGGAGATTGTGAACTGACATTTATAGCCCGTACGACGACCTTCGACCAAGGATTTGTTGGAAATGGACGAGATGAAATTACATCGCAAACTCTTCACCGTGCAAAACCAGTAAGTTTTGACCTTTTCTTGTCCTCTGGGCATCCGACTGTGAATAGCAAACTTCCCATCGCAAGTATGAATAGTGCTTCGGATGGAGAAAGCTAACTCCATAGGACCTCTATATTGGCCACTCGAAAAGGCGAGATTAAAGAATACGAAGAACGGCTGATGGCCCGATCTCAAGCGCTAGAAGAAAGAGAGAAATCTCTAGCTGCACGAGAAGCTAATTTATCCGCTCGAGAAGCAGCATTCGCTTTGAAGGACGAAGAAATCCGTGAGACGCAGAAAAAGATCAACCAAGCTGTAGAGACACTCCGGGGTCAATGGGATAAATTGCGTGAAGAGAAAGAGAAAAATCAAGAATCTATTGGAATGGGTTTACCTGTCCTTATAGAGAACCAACGTCAGCTGAAACCTCTCTTTGTATAAAGGTCCCGCTGACAGTGTAGCACCTCCCATTCGACGAGCTTCCACCGCTCCGAGTAGACCTCTGTTGGAAGAAAGAGCGTAAGCTTTACTTTTCCAGTGATAAAGTCAAGCTCACAAAGTAGGACCATGCCACTTCCTCCTATCTCTCGTCTTTCACGAGCACCAGCATCATACGATGATACACCTTCTAAAATCCCTCTTGCTTCACCTACAGCTATAGAGCATAATTTCAAACCACAATCCACTCCTCTTAGACGAAACGCAACGAAATCACTTGGTAATCTTCGAGCAGCAGCTCAATCCATGCAATCCATTCAAAATCAAATCCTCCCCAATCAACCTCATCAACCTAACCAATTCAATCAATCCAATCCACCACCACCACCACCAGCTCATAATCAACCAGCTCATTCGATGAATAATCCATCATGGTCAGAAAATACTCCTGCTAGACGTATATTCCGACATAACGTACGAACCAGTATAGGTAGTCCTCATGAACTTTATTCAGAAGATATCAGTATGGCCATAGCTACTCCATTACCATCAACAATTTCGAACTTTATTCCTCGTACTAGGAAAAGTTCTATGGTACCTACTACTTCTCAAGAATCCGCTTTATCCGATTATTCAGAAGATAATAATAAACCTTTAGTCGAAAGAACTTTGATACCTGGTCCTATGTTCTCTTATAAAGATATTGCGACACCTATTAAATGGACGTTGGAAGATCCGGATTTACCTTCTCCATTTTTGAGAAGACCTTCTTCAGCTCCTTTGGAAGAACAACCTCGACAACCTTTAGGTGCTATTTCCGTCCAAACTATTATTCCTCTGCAAAATCAGAATCAGAATCAAAGTCAGAATCAGACACAGGGACAAGGACAAGGAAAAGGAAAAGGTGGTTTACCAACGATTAGGAGTAAATCAGGAGGATTGAATTTACATCAACATGTTTTAAAAGTTAATGCAGCGACGGCGGAAGCGAAACGTATGCGCTGAGATTTTCTCCATCACCATGTAATAGGTGATAAGATGACAGAGTTTGAAGTTGTTGGTGTAAACTTTTGATTGCTAAAAGTGATGGTATGGTGATGGGTAGGACGACGGTAGGGTTTTGGAAGATATTTTGGGAAAAGTCTGACCGGATTGATAAGATCCTCGGAAAAGGTAAGATTGAGGAGAAATAGGAGGGGAAGGGAGAAGGAATGTACCAAGTAATCCTGATTGAACAAGTGATAGGTGGACCGTATAGGTAGGGTAGATTGCATGTTTTGCCATTTTCACATGGATATTGGATACTTCATACCACTTTGGCTGATTGATTATGATGTCTCTTAAGCAAATTTTCAATTTCCAATCTCGGTTGATTGCCTTACTTATCATTGAAGGTCAGTGGGAGTAATCTCGAGTGCGAAGCAATACCACTATAACGGACATGAACACTTTGGCGAGGAGAGCAAAAAAAAGTCAAATGTCAGGTTAAACGTGCATATGTATTGGACAACATTGATATTTCCACAATCAACCTGACACACATTATCATCATTTAGTGTGGGTCATACATTGTGATATGAATCAACGAGGTCGACGTTCTTGAGCTTGTTGTTTGATACGACGTTCGTAAGCCGGTCTATCGTTTCTATTTCGTCAACATCTACATCAAGGGTCTTTCCACCAACATGGTGAGTATCAACTTTGAAAGTATTCCTCTCGAAAGATAAGTGGGAATAGGGACTCCATTCAACTTGACGACGAATCATCTGGAAATAATGGCAACGATCACAGAAACCAAAACGACTGTCCCAGCTAAATTGATTCCGCGCCATTCCGGTTTCTATGTTGAGAAAACAAGTAAACGAGTATATGTGATAATAAATATAAAAGATAACAACCATGAAAAGATGGATGAAGTATTAACTTACCTGAACATTTGATACGCATCAACTTGAGCAGGATCAGCAATATTAGCATGATCTAAAAGATCTTGTATACCCAAAACTAACTATTGCACATCAGCTAATCTCAAATCTAGAAAATATGATTGATTGACTGACTTGTTTAATGGTGATACCTGGTTTCCAAGATTTCTCTTCGTCTAGGATAGAAAGACAGATGGTTCCTGATGGATAAACGTTTGGGTGAAATAAAGGTGGATCGAATTTGCCTCATAACGTCAGCTCAAGAATTGACTTTGTAAGAGAGTAACTGACATTTGGGAGGTTTAGCAGGGAAATCTAACATGGTTAGCGTGAGTCTCTGTTCTTGTAAAAATTTTCCAAACAAAAAGTTGATGATTCTTGGGAACGGGGTGGTTGCTCTTGTTGAAATCATTCTCAATCCCATCATTGACAAGCAGGTCAATGTGAAGGCAAGTCTGTTAAAAAGGGGAGAAGAAGAGATTTGAAAAAGAGTTGGGAAAAATATGGGACAGAATAGAGGACAGAAACTTACCATCAGGAAAAGTCATGATAACTTTATAAACCCCTCCTTCCCAATTTGTCTTTTTCTCGTCAGCATCGTTTGACAACCCCCGCAAATTGAACTTCGACGGACCTTGGCGACACCAGGAATACCTACTTCCCATACCATAAGATTCAATGTTCCATCTGCTGCTTTCTGAGGTCTAGCCCAGAAGCCCTGTATGTCAGTCATGGCCACTTCTTATGAAGGCGAGAGGTGTGAGGTGTGGGTGTGTGAGGATGAAGGGAAGAGAGGAGGAGATTAGGAAAGGACTCACATAAGGATGATCTTTTCTCCATTGCTTTCTCTCTTCCGCTAATCTAGCTTGAGCCAGAGCAGACTATGATGGTCAGCTTTATGAAGGTTGGCACTTTGAAGCTTACCATTATTGAGAGAAGAAGAAGATTGGGGAAAGATGGTTGCGAAGTGATCGCGTAGGATGTCTTCTTTACGATAGAATATTCTTTCGACATTCTTTGCATTTTATCCTAGAGTTCAGATGGGCTCGTGACAGAGAGACTTGTGATGACGAGGATAATGCTACAGCACTTGCACCTGACACAAACACCGAGTAGCAGCTACAAGCAGGAGGGTTAAGAGAATCGAAAGTGAGAACCGACGACGATGTCAAGAAGGGTAGTCATACCCGCTACCATCCATTCCACTCATTCCACCGAATCACAACCTTTCGTCTATGATCATACTTCCATAGCCGGCCCTTCGAGGGGACCTTCTTATGGCTCTACCAATGACAATACCAATAAATTGAACGATTGGGTGGAAGAAGATGAGACTCGTCTATTTGGAAATGACATACCTGAGTCAGTGGAAGAGGAATATATGAATGAAGATGACTCTCCTATCATTCAAGGTGAGCTTTTACTCATTATTTGACGTAGGTCATTATTGCAATAATTGACCAATAGTGTCTTGGAGATACATGTCAAGGCTTTACCTATTGGTACCTCTCATATCTCTGATATGGCTTGCTCTCCTCATTCTACTAGTCACGTTCGCTTGGTAAGCTCCACCTCAGTGGGTCAGTATTGAAAACTGATATCTAGGCCTCCTACGGAATACGAACGAACTGCAGGACAAAAATATCCACATCCATTCCTTCCTTGGCCATTTCTCACTGGAATTTTTGCATCATGTACAGTTCAAATCCTTAGAGAACCTATATGGGTCATATCCTCCTTCTTGACTTCTCACCCTACTCCCATGTAAGTCGTACCAACGATGATACGGACATAGCTGATAATAGCTCCACTATCGTACATACGTTATTACATGAACTTTTACGATTATCAACGTTACCGATCATTGTCCCCTCCCCAGTCTCGGGTTTTCACTCTTCATATTATCTAGGATTAGGTTGGGGTACAGCAGAAGTTACTTGGGGAGTGGTGAAAGGATGGGAACAATTAACTTCATATGAAGATATCATGCGATCTCTTCCTTCCCCCAGCGCTTCCCATTCTCCTCTTCTTGAACCTTCAGTTCCCAATACGCAAGGGAAGGATATACAGAGTGTCGTTCCTTCATCTTCGGTGGGGACGGATGTAGAGGAAGATTTGGAATTACAAAGGGAGATGGAAGATGAAGAAGAACTTTTCAAAAAAGTTGATATACTTGAACGTATGCGTGCTCGAAGGGAATTAGAAGAAGTTATTGGTATTCCCTTCCCAGTCAGTCACTTTCTCTTTCTGCTATATGATATAAACTCATCAGGCAGAACATACCATTCCCTTTACATCTTTTATGGCGATTAGACACCTTACTTCTTAATCTTGGTCTCACACTTATCATTTCATCATTCTATTTCAACCCTCGACCGATATATCATCATCCTTCCATTAATATTACAGAACTAGCGACGGTAGCACGAGGAATACCTAGCAAGTGGTTGTGGTTAGCTTGGACATTAGTGGTGATTCTGCATTTGATAGTGAATCTAACTTGGAAAGTCGTCGGAAGAGTCGGTGTGGGGGCTGTGACGTGGGGCGTGAGTTATGACCGTTGAAGAATTGATGAATTTGTGAAGAGAGCTGATGGTCAGGGTTTAATAGTAGCTCTTGGTAGTGTTTTTGCCGGTCTGGGTTGCTGGGGTGGTCTTGTATGAACTCGAGGCCTCTTGAGAAAAATGAAAATATTTAGGTGAGAGTCAAAATGTGCATTGTCTGCTATGTGTGTGAGAAGACAACATCCTGACTTACTTCTGATGGTAGGTCAACAAATCTGACCGGCATGAAACTGGAACCGAAACTACTATCTCGCTATGCAAGATCTACCATCCGACTAGACAACTTGAACCACGTTTGTCAGGTTTGTAGTGGCGAGAACAAACACCGGTCTCTCCCGAAACTCGCTTATTTCTTTTCACAGAATTGGTTCTCCTGTGGGATAGGGAAGCAGTCCGCGGAGGGTGGGTTGGATGTCTAAGGCGATGGCGACGAAGGGGTGAATCGACCTCCCTTCAATCTAATGCGATGCTCGGACTCCGGTTTCACACTCAGTCAAAAACAGGGACTTTAGGACATGAACACTTTGCACCTTCTTTCACGACCCCTCACACAACACAGTTCATCAGTCAAGTGAATACTTATGGATTCGAACAATTTATCTTCGCATACCGTTGGCTCGCTAGGGAGACTCTGCGCGCCGTACAACTCTCGAGAGGTACTACTCTCGAGTACGGAGTCTTATCGGGTACATCGTTCAACAGGCCCCACTCATCTATGGAAGATGCCCCTCAGATTACCAGGAGCTTCACACTGCCTACACAACTCTCTGAGCCATCCCTTACGTCAGATCGGAGGGACGATGGTTCTCAAATGCTTCTGGATCTCCCTTCAAATAGCTCTCCTCCTTCTGCAGTCGTGTCGGAACCGGTCTCTATGGACGAGGTGATGTCGGATTCGCCTCCGGATTGTCAGCAGGGGGCAACTAGACGTGAAGCCACAGAGCAACCGGACATCCCCATGTCTAACGACATATCAAGTACGAGTATGATTCAACCATACACGATCAGTGCCGCTTCAACCACATGTCTTGGTAAACGTCCGCTTGATGGCGAACAAGATGTTTCTGAGGCGAAGCGTTCCCGTATTGACACACCGATGACAGGGCAATGACCGGGACGCCTGTTATGTACGTCTTGATATCGATGCTGATAAATCCTGATGAATCGTGTGTATATTTGGAAGCTGCCTCTTAACTAACTACTGATCCTGAACTCGTATCTCATCTCTTCTATTCTCACCGACCTTCTCTCCTCCCTACTACCACTCTCGGACAACGGCCAGACGAACCGTGGGCGTATCCCGCTCGCTATCACCGACGACCGAAATCGATAGGCCTTCGAAAGAATGTCTGACAAATAAGGCAAGATCCGAGAGGAATGCGAAAACCGGTTTCGGACCAAGACGGACGTAACTCCCTTCATCCTCTGCCCGTCTGGCCGTCGCTGGCCACCAATTATCGAGCTTATAAGATGATTCGATTGGATGGTGGGTCACTTTCTTCCCAGATACGAAAGAGTTTGACAAACATGTCTGCTAGAAACCCCTCGGAAGAAAGTACGATCCCCTCTACAATATACTCCACAACATACTCCCCACCGACTCAGCCAGAGGCCCCTCCTACAACTCCTGATGGCCAAAAGAGCTCTATGACGGACGGGCGACCACCGTGGGACTGGGAGACGTTGAACGCGAGTCTCAATGCCATTGTCATCGGAAACGGAGACCAAACTCGGACACCTCCTGACAAGGCGCCGGCCAGAGCTATACATAGTAGAATAACCTCTTTAGATGGATGGTCAAGTAGTGGCCCTTCACAATTGAATATACCTGATAGTGCTCTGTCATCAGCTGGGCGACCTCAAAACCCAGGAACAACCTCAAGGGCAAGTTTGAAAAGACATAGATCAGGTTCAGATCCTGACGATACAAAGGTCCCTGATTCCCTGCAGCACTCTCGTAAACGTACCCGCTATGTAACACCCCCCAGTACCCCAGATTCGAGGAATTGAAGGAGGGACAGTCCTCCATCCCGACAGCTCTCCCAGCATGATCAGAAGCTATGGCAGCTTTTATCCTACTACTTGATTCAGAGATGTCCTTATTCCATACCGGCGCATTATGTTTAGATATCAACCTTGTGAGAGGAGAGAGTATTATCGACAACTTCTGACTGCTGTCCATGAGTAATTTCACCTCTTTGTAAGAGCATGGATTGCTATTCCACTCACGGTACTCTACTCAGCTTCTAAACGTAGTCGTTCATGCACCGATTGGCCCAAAGATGTTGCGAGTTCCAGAGGCAGGAAGAGTGTGAGAACTAATAGGGTGCAGAGACTACTCAGCGACTCCCCCGCTTTGACCACCGTTGCCCAGTGGGGAACGTGGCTTCTCTACGGAATTTCTCTAGTTTGGAAGTTCCGTAAAGCGGATTCAAGTGGGAGCCGGGTGGCGATCAACAAGTGATGGTCGTCAAGATAAATAGATGATGACTTAGCGCCGAAGGTGGGTGACGGCAATTTTTGATCCGTGGATCACGGGGAAAGTCACTGTCTTGATAAACCGACCTCTTCGCTGTTGTGCCGCTCAAAAACCTTATTCTCTCACAGGGTTTGACTTCGACCGATGATTCGCGAATCTCATGGTTGTCTATCCTGAATCCTGATGATTCTTCGAGAAGATACTGACGACGGCCGGATCTTACGGCCGTCTAATGACGTCTCTAGCACTTTCCTTCTCACCTCTCTCCCCATTCTTCTGGGTGAAAGGTAAAGCTGTGTAAATATGACCTAATCCCCTCAAGTCTCAAGAGGTATAGGGCAAACAGTGGGGCTATGTTATGAAGGCCAAATTGGTGATGTAGAAGAATGGAACGTGTGGGAAGAAGTTGACTAAGAAGTTTTCCCTACCTTTTACGGTCACCGCTTTCTTCAACGTCTAAACCCCGCCCGAATCGAGCTCCTAGTCCCGAAAACGTATATCATCCTGGTTTCCCCATGAATCTGTCCCTCTAAGCTTACAACAGTAAGTAAGACATACATGGCATCCAACATCAACTCGAGTGACACAGCTGTCCAAGTGTCATGACCGGGTAGCGAGCCCTTCTGAACCCCAAACCCCGGCAGGCCCCCCCAAGCCTGTGGGTTTGCAAGTCAGGTACCCTCGGCAGGTATCCACGCTCTCGGAACTCGAACTAGGAACTAGGAACGTCGAATCCTCCGATTCGACCATGGGATGGTTGGCGACCCCAGACCAACCTCTCAGGATGAAACCTGAGCTCAGGGTGAAACCTGAGAAGGGGTGCTGACACCTGCAGCCAGCACACCCCACACATAAGGTGAGAGCCGTGAATCGAACGTCTGACCCGTTAGAGTTGATATTCTGTCATGACCGGGTAGCGAGCCCGCGATCATAAACCGTCCTAAAAGGCTCAATATCAACTCTGCTAGTGAGAGTTGATCTCGCTATAAGTACTGGTCATGACAA